ACGACAGATTCCGCTTGTTATTCTTGCTGCACAGTAAGCTGGTGGTGCATCTTCAACTTTCCAAAAACATGGGATAGGTTTTTCTGATAATGAGAGTATAATCATTTGAGTTTTGTAATTCAAATTGTACTCCCCCTTTGTGCCTTGACTTTCTTTCTAAATCAATTTTCACAGAAAACTTCTGCTTGTAGAACACAAAGGGTGTCAGGCCTTTTAGTCAACTTTAACTCATTTGTGAGAAAAGTCATTGACCTGTTGACTGAGGTGGTTGGGTTGAGTGACAAGAGCAAAGTTGTTCACCTGTTGACTGAGATGGTTTATTTGAGTGACTATATCTGTCACTCAAATCAACCATCTCAGTCCACGGATTAACAACTTTGCTCAGATATTTGTCACTCAACTCAACCACCTCAGTCAACAGGTCAATGACTTTGCTCACAAGTTAGTGGAGTGAACAAAGATTTGTAATGATAATGTCCAAACTCATAGAAAAATATTTGTCCCTAATAGAAATGGATGAACTTGAATGATTATAAAAAGGTTGTAAACATTTTCTGACCTCTTTGTTTGGTCACAATTCACCCTCCGCACTTCAACTACTTTGTTTGAGCTCCCTTTGTTGCTTGATCCTTTTCTGATTGAATTCTGATGAACACCTTTTATAACCTGCCTCTTTCATTCTCTCCCAACAATGACTTATCAAACCAATACAACACAGATGTTGATATCCTATTGGTATTGTATTGGCAATCTGACACAAAAAGTCGGATTTTCTCATATTGGTTCAGCTGACCCCACATGTGGAGCACCTTTTTTCATGTCGGGTATTGGCAATACGATATCCAGGCTTGAAACGACATGAGATCACCTCATAAATTGACTGCTTTGAACCCCAATTGCAGTTGAAATGGCACTTTTGCTACAAATTCCATATTGTATCCACTGTTATTGTTTGGGCAATACAATATGAGCTGCAAGATTTTTTTGGTCTTCATATCGTATTGGGTATTGGGTCAGATATGTATGCCCCTGGTTATGACATGCAAAGTGTCCGAAAAGTCACATTCGATCGGATTGTTTTGGGTGTTGTTCCCAAATCCATCTTCCTTGGGCGACCAGCCCTGATTCCCATTTGTCAAACATGTCACAACTTCCATTCACTTCATGAGGCATATATGCACAGCCAGCATATATGCAAAAATATGAGGAGTTCTTGGACTTCCACTCCAAGGGAAGCTCCGGCCAAGGGTCCAATCCAAGGCAACTGTGATGGCCAAAATTTGCCTCAGAGGTATCTCTGGGTGCGCTTTTCCTTGTGGGGGCATCCAAGGACTCCTTGACATATGTTTCTGAGGCAACTATGCGGGCAGTTCTGGGTGGTCTGGTAAAAAACAGAAAATGTTTGCTGTGATACATCCTGTCCATCTCTGAGAGTTGAGGGCACACAAAATGTTTCTTGAAGGTCATGGGTCCCCCAAGTTTGCCAGTCAGCAGCCACATAATTTGTGTTTTGGTCTGGAGACCTGTTGAGATGTGTTCAGGCATCATCTTGAGCTCTTTTTAAGCTTTCCTGAAGCTTCTCTGAAGCTTGCATGAAGCTTCTGTCAATTCTTTCTGAAGCTTTCATGAATCTTTCATGATGCCGTGGTAGTCACTGGCCTGCCAGTGCCTAGTAGATGGGGGGTGTGAATTGGTGAGTACTCAGTTTTTAATGACACTTCACCAAAATCCAGTGTTGTTTTGAGCAGGTTTGTTGTATCTCAGTTGAGTTGGAACACTCTGTCTCATCACATTCTTGCGCGAGTGAAGAGCTGCTTTAGAAAGAAACAAAAGATCATGCTCTGATGAGTAAGTTCATTCGAATTTTCATCTAAGTGATGGTGCAGTTATGTCAGTCTGACTGCTGCGTACATATTTAGAAAACCTTTTAGAGGAAGGGCCTGGAGATTTAAAGCGTCAACTGAGCCTGAATCAGTACTCAGTTGTCAGCTTCAAATTCTCTATTGTCTAATCTACGAGGGTTGAAACTGATTCTCTCGTGGTCACAGGAGGAGCGCTCACAGGCTTGGTGTAAGATCAAGTCGCTCAAGCAGACCAATGCGTCTCAACATGCCACAACCTTGAAGAATGAGAAGGAGTTGCAAAAGCTGACTGATGGGTCAGTCACATGTTTTTGGTCAGTGGAGGGACAAGCGGCTGAATAGACTATTGTTCTGACTGACACAGCATTGATGGATCACAAATTGCTCTGGAAGACAAGGTGCAAAAGTCTGTCGCTTGCTCAACTCTCTGAATAACCAGGTAATCCTTTTGATGTCTTAATTCAAATTTTGCCCACAGGAATTTGGAATACGTTGCCAACCTTGCCTTGTTTTGGTAAGCCAAATCATAACATTTAATCCCAAAGCCACTTCGCTTACAAAACCTCAACAAAATACACAAGTATCCGTCACTTGCCCTACAAATAGTTTTGGACTCAAGTCCAAAATCATCCGGCAATGCAATGCACCGAGAATCTCGACGTACCATCACATTTGTTGATCTAACAGTCACTCCATCAATTTCCCTTTCACAAACGTCTTTCAGCTTCAACTGCATCCACATCCTAATCAGCGTACATCAATCACGGTCAATCACCAATCCCCTTTTGCGTTTGTCAATCATGCAGAACATGAATCAATTTCAATCGCCAGACACCACCATTCTCAGCTCATCCATTTTTCTTGACACAACGCAATACACTAACGTCATTATTCACCTACCGACACCTGACTCAATGTTGGATCCACTGAAATGTCACCGCGAGGCTATCGTGTGGCTGCCTGTAAGCGATGGTACTGAGCTTTATATTTAGCAGCTGTCTATTCCCCAGTCATGTACCCCGTGTGGACCTGAAATTGAACCTACTTACTTTGCGATCCTTGAAAATACTGTTTGAGTGTTAAGTTATTGCAGCGCACGACTTTTCACGATTTCACATCCCATCACCGCTTCTGAAACGGCCTTCGCGGCCTATGTCGAAATGCCTTCTTGAATACATTTGTGAGTCCCCATCACATGCAACGGGATCTATCATAACCTTTGCCTGCTTACGGATGGGAAATTTCACGAACCCCATGTCATCTCATCAAATGACCAAGAACGGCACCACGTTCACGATATGGGGACACAATCGAATCTGCTTGCTTTGCAGTTGCACAAGGTTAGCCATACGTCACTCACCTCCCATCTCGTTAAGCCAATAATATTCACAAAAACAACGATTCACCGATACATCTCTACGTAGCATTGCTTTTGAGACAGCTCCAATCACAGACAGAATGTTCATTCTCGCTTTGCCGACTTAGCGGCAAGGACAATTCACATGACCGGATTCATTCATAATTATCCTATTCAACTCATAATATGATTCACAACCACATATGACGCCTTGGCATCGGACCCGGAGCGTATTTCCCACTGTGCTTGCGTATTTTTCATCACCATATACAATATTTGGTATTTGCAATCACGACCAGGAATAGGCGACCCAACGGTCTTTATCTGTCAAAATTGATCATCACCGCTTTGTGCACTAGCCATAATCAGTATTTCTCACCTTGGTCATTTATGACCACAATTCGACATATATAAGTGGTCCATGATGCTTGCTTACCTGGTGGGATCGTTTCATTCAGCGCTCACATTCTGCAAAGGCCCATTGCTCCTAGGAACCTATTATCAGGATTAAATTGTCAGGCTGCGCTTTCATCTACCTATTTTTCTGACAGTTTTCTGAATTGTATAACCTTATTGGGGTTGTTTCACTTTGTTTTCTAGCAGGCGACATGTCGAGCGCATCACCACCCACTCACCATAGCATTTATTTATCCGGGAACTTCAAAATTGAAAAAAAGGTTTGTTTGTGTTTGTGTCTGTTTTCTCGTTTAGTTGATAATTCAAAGCTGAGCCTTACCGGATTTCTATGTGTCCAGATTTCCCCAATCACGCCTGCCAGCGGTGACCCTGAGTATACTACGTTCGTGGTCTCGATCGGTTGCCGAGGAACTGACCGTGACGCCAGATTGTTGTACGAGATTCGCGCTACTGGGCTTTCCACCGATGAACACAAACTGTTTCAAGATCACACCTACTTCCTTCGGGGCTCTTTTTTCCCCACAAACCTACCTGGAACAGAAAATGACCAATTGGTTTTTGAGGGCACTGATGCCACGATGGTGGCCTCTATTGATAACTTTGAAGCCGATTCAGTTGATACGATTGGAATCTCTGGATTAGGTATTGTTGTCGATATTGGCTACATTGTTGAAAGATGTTGTCAGTATTTGAAGAAGACGGGGCAAGATGCCGATTTACAGACCGCAGTGGTAACATTACAACATTGCAAAGTTAACCCAATTGTAAGTTCCCGAGTTTCTCTACATTGATGCGGCTTGCTGGTTGATTTTCTCAGGATAAATCGACACATATGTGTAAGGTCGAGTATCTCATCCGCCCCACGCCAAACCTTGCTCGCATCGCTACATTTCTCAAAAATGGGCGTGAATGCATGATACATGGGTTTATCAAGGACTATAATGTCCAAACGAATTCATACGTAGTTGTAGTAAGTTTGATTTTCTGGTCGATTGCGAAGGCTGGCTCTAATTTCTGCTTTCGCAGGCGAACAAGTTGTACATGACAAGTGGGTTTCAAGATGTATCACCTCAAGCTAAGGGCAAGTTGGTTACTAACGGAGGGGCCTCAAAGAAGCCCTCAAAGTCAGTAATTTGTACCCCTCTTTGCCCACCACTAATACTACTGACATTAGTTATACAGGTTTGTATCAAGGCCTGTATCATCACCTTTTGTATCACCCATCCCTGGGTCAATCGGATCAGGAAACATAGCTTCCGGATCTAGCCACCTCCCCAGGTCTGTGGCAAACTCAGGCACGCCATCTTCGCCTGCTTTGTCTCTGCCATCAACGTCCACCAGTTTCCCCGACTCAGTGCGAGTATCCGACGAACCTCCTAAGAAGAGATCCCGTGCTCCGCCCAGAAGCAAAGGTAAGAAGAAGGATGGCTTTACGTAATCATCTCAAGACCAGGTGTGTCCACTTTTTGACCAATAGATTTGTCTGTTCTGCAATTACATATTCTTATTTGGTTCTCTGTGATGGTTTCACTTGTCTGCTTTTGGCCGTGATTGTCTTATATATTCCTTAGCATATGATTCCTGTTCACTCAGCAAACGACATGCATGCGACTTAGCTATAACATGTTCCTCACTTTCTATGTCTTATGGGTTTCGTGATGTGCACCACGCTAATTTGCTTTAATTATATGTTATAACCCCCTGGTATCTCGATTGTGCTCCTTCAATACAAGCTCTAACCTTCTTTTGTGATAGATTGTGTTGTTGATAGCGTGCCTGAGTATTGTTATGCATTTGGTCAAGACCTACAACCCTTATAATTCATAGTTCGCGCAAGGGGCCCATTTATTGATCTCAAGTATTTCAAAATCAAACGCCACAATAGATGCATTAGTGTCAGCCCCGAGCCCTATTACTAGTACCAAAGGGCTGCCTAAATAACTATAAAATAACAAAAATAATAAGTACAACTCATGGCTCAGTTTCAAGAGCCAAGTACATATGTAATTACATATAGTTACATATGAAATTACATATGTACATACATGTAAATATAACCAAAAGGTTGCATTATGTAAGACTGCCTTTCACAAGTGCGCATCACATGAGTAATACAAGAAGTTACACATGTGTGTAATCAGATAATAAAATAAATAATTAAAATTCATGATTACATACGTCAAATGAGTATGTAATCAAACCACGAGTTGTACATAAAGGATTTTCAGGGTTTTGAGTATATAAAGAGCTCTCTGACCCGCCAGGAAAATCCATCATCATCATTACATATCATCAAATTATCAGTAAACATCATCAATCAGATAAATAAGAGTCCTTGTCCTCTTTCATTAGACATTGTATATTTCTCTAATTGATCATTGCTTTTGTTATTTGTAGAAGTTCTTTTGAAGACTTCTTTCAGGAGGTGATCCTTGCAGTACTGCTCAAGTTATTAAGGGAATTCAATAACTTGAGAAACTCTAAATTCACGGGAGTTCCTCTGTGTTCAGAGTTTAAAGAACTTTAAATATCACTAGGTGATATTTCCCTTGTTTAATAAACTCTAGAGTAGAGTGTTATTAGCTTGGGCACGAAACTAGACTGTAGTTTCTACTTTTATTCCTGCTAGAAGACTCCCGTCTTGCATTAATTCCCGGAGTGATATCCAAAACCCTTTGTTAAAAGGTCAATTGACTGAAGTCAGTGCTGATTTGATCACACTACTTCATTAATCACTTTGTTTAGAACCTTAAACAAAGATCTCACGCGCTTAACAAACTTAGTTTGTTAAGCAAACCTCATTCTTTAGTGTTTTACTAGCCCAAAAGACGCTAGTAGCTCACAATTAGCGATCCGGCGGTGTGATTTTTGTTTCCCAATGCCTGTTAATATTGTATCTTACCAACTCCGGGAGTATCAAGCACATTCATCCAACTCGGTCAAAGTCCATTTTTTTTATTTTGGCTCTCATTTAATCATGTCTCCCACTCGTCATGTCTCATTTGAAACCCAACCCATAAGTTGACATGTTTTCAGATTTCATAAACCACAATGACCTGCCGCCCACTGAACTCGTGTTTATCCAACTAGCCTCACACTTTGGCAACATTTGACCTGACCCCGTATTGTGGTTGCAATCGCAAAGGGCATCCCGGGGAAGATGGTGGGCTGTAGCTGTTGATTCTTTCACGCCCCTCAGCCCAAACATGAAATATCCAGTCATGCCTTGCAGCTAATTGTATTTCACTCTTGTATACAACTACTTTTACGGGCACTTGTTATTCTTACATGGGGAAACTGGCGTTCGTCATTATTTTTGCAAGTATTGGTCCTCACAATTTCCGTCCTCGCGCTCGTATTGTTGAGATCTGTGACAGTACTGCAAATTGTGCAGTTGTTGATTCTGTACTTCGTACGCATCTCTTGACGCGCTGATTGCGGCACATAGTCATTAGAGTCGTTTGCCCTACTCACGCCGCGATATTGGCACTGGTGAGTATGATTCGACCGGCTTCAACAGTCTTCACACATTTTGCGCGAATGTCCGGAGTGCAATTCCAATACACACTCCCACGGTACCTTTTCATTTGTTCCAACAATGTTGTGGGGTACTGGTCATCTCGTTACCCGGTGGTGATATGCTTATACCGTTTTCAACTGTTGAACCGTGAAATCGGCTATTGATGTTACCGGCCTGCGGATTGACGGCTGCGCATCGGTTGAATGAACAATCATGCTCCTTCTCCCTGAAGCCGGTATTTGTTTCAACAGTCTGGTTTGTTGTCTTCTTGAAAATTAGCAAATCCGTTGTCCTATAAGGTTTTTTTATCCTTTTGCACTTCAACTCAATCAATCGTAAAAACTGATGTGCTCGATATTGTTTGCGGTAGTCAGAACTTTGCACGTTCGGAGCGCCTTTCTAGGTTCTGGTATCATGATTATGGATGCCTCGACACCTGAAGCACACAAGTATCATGTTTCCGACTTTTGGTCTATGAATTTTTTGACTGGTCATGTGAACTCATTTTTTCATTTGATCCTTTTCAGTTTGTCATTCACCATTCAGTAAATTGCGGGCGAGTCGGGACGTTCGATCATAATGTCTTCCCTTGGTCTCCGGAAGATGGAGGGGATTTTCGGAGCGGGTAGGTGTCGATTGCCTGTCTATACTTTGTTCTGATTTCATGAAACCAAACTTATGGTTAGTTTATCTCCTATGGGTCAAGTTTCAACGGGTGTTTGTGGACAGAAGCTGTCAACTGGCGATTGAATGTACGATTCACTGCCATGGGCAGGATCCTCCAACATGGTCTATTGAAATGTCTTTTCATGTGGATCTGAGTAGGTATGCTGCTCTTTGCCCAGATGAGTGGCATCATATGATTGTATAAATACGGCTCTCCTGTTGATGTATAGTATTTACTTACCACATGTTTTTTTAATTGGTTCCTTCCTCACCCGCATTCTTGTTTAGGTGAGTTTAGACTCTGGATTCCGTTGGATTGTTGTCTGACACAATATTGATTGGTTTCCTTGTCCAATCCCACGTTTCTGATGGTGCTTCTGCAACTCTTATTTGCTTGGCACACAGATTCCAGTTTGACATGTCTGAAAACAACAATCCAACTTATCATGGCATCTACTTGTCAGGCAACTTTGATATTGAAGAAAAGGTACGGTTTGAACTATTGCTATACATGAGTCACAATTTTCACTGATCTTCTGGTTTGTCAGCTCTCACCCAATCACGGATGGCGTAATGAGTACCGAGCTTATGTTACATATATAGGTTGCGCTGGGTTGGATCAAGATCAGAGGTTGTCGTATGGTATAAAAGCAAAGGGTTACAGTTCCCCCTCTTTCATGTTATCCGAAAATCATATCTACTTCTTGAGGGGTTCTTTTTTCCCATCAAAATCCGCCGATACGGACAACGATCAATTTCTATTTGAGGGTAGCGATGCTTGCTTGTTATCGGCATCGGAGGGTTGCGTAACTGATTTAGTAGATTCCGTCGGTGTGACTTCATTGGGTTTTGTGGTTCGAATTCATACAATTGTTGAGAAGTGTTGTAATATGTTAAAGAAATCACCTTCAGATCCTGATCCGAAGACAACTGTCTTGACGGTTGAACATGCGGACTACCATCCCATAGTAAGTCCCCTGGGTGTTTGCGTGCAATACCTCAAGCTGACTGATCAATGTGCTTTATTAGATGAAATCCAGACGTGTTAGCAGGATGGAATACCTGATCCGGCCCTCACGTGACATGGCTGGAATCGCCGCATCAATTGTAGTAGGGAGTGAATGCCATTTCCATGGGTTTATCAAAGATTTCAATCAAGAGACCAACTGCTATGTTGTAATTGTAAGCCGTTTTATCTTACCTTTCCATGGTTATGATCCTGATGATATTAGTTATGTAGGCCAAGAAAGTGTACTTAACAACTGGGTTTCAGCAACAACCCACGGTACCGGCGATCGAGTCTGGCACTGCCCCAGGTCCAACCAAAAAGCCACCCAAGTGAGTATATGATATTAACCTGCTATCAAAGCCTTTAACTAACTATAGGCGCTTGGAGATTCATGGTCAAAAAAATCACAGCTCGAGCGGACTTTCCTGAGGACAAAGTGGCTATGACCTCGAAAAGCGACAACAAGGTGGCTGCCCCTTGTGAATTGCAATTACCCCCCTCTCCCGGTCCCTCTGGTGAGAAGTCCGGCTCATCAGGCGAATCCCCCTCAATATCCAAATCACTACCAGCACCAACTAAGAAACGTGCACGATACCAACCAAAAAGAAACTTACCACCGCCTTCAGGTGAAGAGTCTGGTGAATGAGCGTGTCCTGTAAGATCTTCACATAATCCCTGATCAGTCATCTTTGTTTATATCCTGGGGTATTCTGAAGTATTGACTTTTTCCTATTTTGTGATTGTATATTTCAGCTTCATGACTTTGGATTTTCCAAAACACCAGTTTTGCTATTGTTTTCCCTTTGCATTGAATTTATTATTTTATGATTCATCCAATGCGATGGTGACAGTTACTTCATGTTTGGCATGGGACTGCTGACCACCGCTGACTGTCATTCATCAATCATATGTCTCCCAATTTTTTCTTGCTCAATTTCTTAACATATGTTCTAAACTTGTTAATTGTTTTCCTCATTGCTACACCGTTTTATCGACTTTGTCAATGGTCTCATGTTTTTTTATTTATTAACACTTTTTTTTCAATGTTTGAGTCTGTGACACACTGGGCCGATATCAATACTGGTCTATGTACTGGTGGTGTGAGTTAGACAAACGATCTTGAGCTCGTATCAACTCTGTTCTGCTGCGTTGATTACATGCATATCCTGGCCTACCTTTCGCTATTGCGCTGTGACTCTGCGAGGTAAGTGGCGTTTCGTTGTAATCACAGTCCAGAGTACGTGTCTCAATTCCTGCGGTTTCATTTGTCCAATGTGCAGTATACACATTGGCCGTGTTAATACCAATGTGATTGAGAAGTAGACTTGGTAGCCAGTGTTGTATCTTACTTGGCGGCCATGCCCGGCGGGTTATTATGTGTGTAAACACTGTTTTATGATGCTTGGGACGGGTCGCCCCGATTTCTTAAACTGAGCCCGTTTCCCTTCACATGTGTTTGATCTTGTTAAGAATACTGAAACCTCCTCCCATTTATTGAATTTCTTATAAGTATAATGCTCTATTGATAGTGTACGACACCGGCGTATTGGTTCCCATACCAAATTACTTAGCAGGATGATATTTGCTTCAATGTATCGCTCGATGATGGCGGCTTCCAGATTTTGTTCAAAGAACGATTATTTACACCTCGATCCCATTCTACCATGTGATTATCCTTCATCAAGGTGTTTCACGATCTATGGTACCCCGACTTTGGAGGAGATTGCGTACCAAGTGCGGCATTGATAATGGTCACTATTTCCAATCATCCGCCCAATATGCAAATTCCCATGCCAACTTGCGTGGAAGATAGTGTGCAGGTATTCGACTCGTGACTGATGGTCTCGTCTCTGATCCCAATGGGAATGATGTTGCCTCGTGCCCTTGAAACGTAGTTCAACTATAAAGAAGGGCAGGTTGACATTGCACGAGGTAATCTTATGTCTAATGATTTCCACCTTGATTGTGTATGTTCTCGAGTTTGATACTCTCCAGTTTGCCTAATCATTTGCCAAATGACAAGCCAGACGGATTGAAATCGTCCGGCGTCCATCTTTTCATGATGTGGATGGAGCGCGGTGACTATCCACATCGATTGTCTGCGCCGATTTCTCACCGGCTCAAATTTCTGAGTTTCTTTACGGAGTGTGATATGGTTTCTGTCTCCTTGTTGTCTGATACAACGTAATTGGAGGCCGTGTATTTCATGTGGCTGCAGTGCTATTGTTTTGCAATTGGTGCTAGACCAATTAATCTATCGCTTGATTATATATGTCTTTTGGTCCTTGCTTTTGTCGCTGATCTCCTATTTGATCGTAATCAACTCATATTAACTTACATTCCCCTGATTTGAATCCGATTTGTGATCTTCATCTTGTCTTCTCTGATTGATCTTTGATGTCTAACCGCAAGCGCAAAAAGGGTTTGGCGGTGCCAGAAGAAATCTATGGTTTGGAAGTGAATTTGGTGTACCGTTTTGGGAAAGAGATCCCTTACGATGTAGGTCCTGGTACTGACGTGTGCACTGGATGTGGAGCATTCAGATGGAGGGTTGAAAGGCGCCAGTCCGACGAGAAGCTAGCGCGTACTTCGTTTCGGAATTGTTGTAAACACGGAGCCATAGAACTTCCTCTCCGTTACTTTCCAACGGATGTTGGAGAGCAGATTCCTCCTTTCTTTCGTGACTTGCTTAGTGGCCGTGACAAACGTGAGACAAAGTTTTCCATTCTAAATGTGATAAAAAGCCTGACATTGTTTTATAGGTTCTCGTCATTTTCGCGAACACATTCAGAAGTACAATAATGCGCTCTCTTTCACTTCTCTGGGAGTGAAACTAGATTCAGCTATTATGCGAGAACGTGGGCCTTATGTCTTCAGGATGCAAGGTGGTATGACTCATAGCATAGGTTCTTTAATGCCTTTGGATGGGCAAGACCCTGGATGTGATATTGATCCCAACATCATATACAAGTTCCAGCAATTCATGTACGATCATAATCCTTACGCGAAGATATTTAAATCCGCCATTGAAATCTGCAACGAATCTTGCGAAGCTCCCCGGACCTTACGTATCAAGACTGTGCTAGCTCCGGGTACAGACCATCGTCGCTACAATAAGCCTACTGCCAATGAGGTAGCTGCGATTGTAGAAGGGGACGGCCAAGTCGGCCAACGGCAGCGTGACATCATCTTGCGGCGAAAGTCAGGCCGTTTGGAACCTATTTCAGAATTACATACTGCTTACTTTGCACTTCGTTATCCGCTGTTATTCTTGTATGGTTCACAAATGTGGCATGAATCATACACTAATCCTACCCAAAAAAGTTAGCATGCATTTTTTTTCTGATTGTCTATCTTCATCTATCTAATTCAGCTATTTGGTTTCTTTACGATTACAGATAAAACTGGGAAAATCTCGAACCTACAGTGGTTTGCATACTTGTTATTCCAACGTTCTCAATTTTCTGTTATCCTGGCATCGGGGCGTTTGTTCCAGGAATTTGCGGTGGATATGTACGTTTGCGTTGAGCATTCAAGACTGCAATACCTACGATTTAATCAAAAGAAAATTCGAGCCGAGGTCTATAGTGGTGCAGTGGAAGCACTCGGTAATGAAGTGGAGGATGAGGTTGTTGGAAGGAGAATTGTCCTGCCTTCGAGTTTTGTAGGTGGACCAAGAAGCATGCAACAACTCTATCAAGACTCAATGTCATTGGTTGCAGAATACGGAAACCCAAGCCTTTTTATTACAATGACAGCGAACCCTGATTGGCCCGAGATTGTTGATGCTTTGGAAGATAATCAGACTTCGTCAGATAGGCCAGACCTCGTGGCTAGGGCTTTTTATAATAGATTCCACAGTTTATTGCACGACGTCACTAAATATGGCCGATTTGGAGACTGCCCTGCATATGTATATACTATCGAATTTCAAAAGCGGGGATTGCCACATGCCCAAGACTCAAAACCCAAGACTCCTGATCAAGTCGATTGCTTAATATCAGCCCAACTTCCTGATCCAATTCTAGAACCTACGTTGTATGACTTGGTAACCGATCATATGCTCCATGGTCCATGCCAAAACTACAAGTGTTGGACTGGCACCGATTGCAAATTAGGATACCCAAGACCTTTTTAGAACGTACTACCATTAACAACTCCTCCTATCCCAATTACAAGCGGCCAAACAACGGCCGATTCTTTCAGAAAGGTATAGATCGATTTGATAACGGTAGTGTTGTGCCTCACAATAGATTTCTATTGATGAAGTATAGGTGCCACATTAATGTTGAGGTGGCCCACAGCATCAGAGCTATCAAATATTTATTTAAATACATCTTGAAAGGCCATGATAGGACAATGGCCACGATTGAGTCTGAAGATACACGAGATGAAATTAAGTCCTTCTTGGATGCTAGATTCCTGAGCGCTCCTGAAGGTTAGTTCCTCACTGATATTATATTCATTTGATGTAGTTTTTGATTTGCTTTATTCAGCCATCTGGCGTTTGTTAATGTATGAGATGTCGGGGAGATTTCCGGCTGTTCAAAGGCTTAGCTTGCATTCAGAAAACGGTCAAACTATTTACTTCGTGGATGGTAACGGCCTACGACGTTCAATAGAATCTGGTCGAGCGGAGAGAACGACATTGACGGAATTTTTTCGACTATGCGAAGAAAATGTCAAACTACCATTTGCTCCTGGGACAGTACGGTCTCTTAAGTATCAAGAGGTTCCTAAACACTTCACTTGGGATGATGATGAAAGAACCTTTACCACTTGAAAGAATTCGGTTATCTCTATAGGCCGAGTTTACTTCGCAAATGTAAAGCGTGGGGATGTGTACTTTTTGCGTTTGTTGCTTTGCCATGTGCCCGGACCTACGTCATTTTCTTACCTACGAACAGTCAACGGTATCACTTACAATACTTTCTGTGAGGCAGCAGATAAACTCGGGCTCTTGCAAGATGACAGAAATTATCACGAATCTCTGACTGAGGCGGCCAGTTGGAAAACAGGAAAACAATTACGTCATATGTTTGCTATCATATTATGTCATAGCTCACCATCTAATCCGCTTGCTTTGTGGGATGGTCATGCCGATGACATCTGTGATGATTGTGAATATCAAATCAAGCGCCTGAATCCTCATGCCAGCCCATCCATCGCTCATATTCATAACTATGGTCTTCACCTGCTCGAAAAAACATTATTCAAGATGGACACCAATTTGGAAGAAGTTGGCATGCCCCCAGTTGATCGGTTCTTGTTATTCCAACTTGGGTTACCCGATGATCATAGGCTAGATGTGGATAAGGGAGTCGATCCATGCGAAAGCGCTAGAAAATACAAGTCAATGTTGCGATCTCTGACGGTTGAACAACAGCGAGTTATCACTCCAATTCGAGCGGCAATTGACTCCAACCAACCATACATGGCGTTTTTGGATGGCCCTGGTGGTACGGGTAAGACATTCTTACTTAATTGCATCTTGCATTACTGCAATGCAAATGGTATCGAATTCCAGGCGGTTTCGGCGGCAGGCATTGCTTCTTTGCTTTTGTTGAAAGGCAGGACTGCACACGGAGCATTCAAAATTCCTATCCCTATCTACGACGACTCACTTTGTTCGCTTTCTCCTGGAGAAAAGTTAGGACGTATCTTGATTGCAACCAAATTCATTGTTTGGGATGAAGTAGCCATGCAACATCGTCATGGTATTGAGTGTGTGGATCGTACACTTAGGGAGTTCACTGGTATTAATCTTCCATTTGGGGGTAAAGTAGTTCTATTCGCCGGCGATTTCCGCCAGACGTTGCCGATTGTTCGAAGGTCAACTCTACTGGAACAAGCCAAGGCTACCTTGAAGGCTTCTTATCTATGGAATGGAATGCACAAGTTTGCGCTATCGGTAAATATAAGGCTAGGTGGAGCCCTGGCTTCACCTGATAGGACTAATCTAGAGTTCGCAAAGTGGTTATTGGCCTTGGGTTCGGGAACTATGCAAGAATCTTTCGCTCAAGAGGTACCGCTATTACATTGCAACGTCTCCTTGATTCCTCCTTGCTCAATCATCGATGAAGACATCCTGGATGCGGAATACGGGGCGATACATGATTTGATCTGTTGTGAGAATTGGCGTGAGTTAACCGAGCTCTACTCAAGCAGGTGCCTGATAACTCCTCTAAATGCTACAGTAAATGCCTTGAATGCAAGAATAATGGATTCCTTACCGGGCCACAATCTGATCTCGACTTCGGTGGACAGGATAGATCCTTCGTTTTGTGATCCAGTTTCAATTGAGGTATTGAACTCCTTTGATTTCCCTGGATTTCCAGCACATAAACTCGATCTCAAAGTGGGGGCATGTGTTATGGTCTTGCGTAACTTACATCTAGCGGATGGACTGTGTAATGGTACACGTCTATTAATTGCGGAATGCAAATCAAATGCTTTGAATTGTCGTATCTTGACGGGCGAATTGAAAGGTACTGCAATCAGTTTACCAAAAATGTCATTACATCATCAAGGAAATGAAGAATGTCCAATTCCCTTTTATCGACATCAGTTTCCTATTATGCCTGCTTTCTGTATGACTATCAACAAAAGTCAGGGTCAGAGTTTGCATAGAGTGGTAGTGCTTCTACCCAATCCCGTTTTCTCACATGGTCAGTTGTATGTTGCGTTGTCTCGCTGTACGACTGCATCCAGCGTGCAAGTATGTTTACCGTCAAGTCCGGAAGGAGTCTCTACGACAAACATTGTTTTTCACCCGGTTTTAGAATTTTGATGACTTCATTGAGGTGAGCAATATCTTTCTTTACGTTGAGTACACTCATAGCACTACTATTGCTGACAATTTTGCTCTCCTTATGTATTTCCAGTTGTTTATGATTACACCTGTGAGATGTCTTGCAACTTGATTTTTGCTACTATTGTCGATTGTTTAAATGGTCAGGTTGTGCTTGTGCATTGAAATCGTTTTCTTTGGGTATGACTGACAACTCATATCTCTAATAATATATATAATCTCAAAAGTGGCCGTGCTTATGGGTTCGCGCGCCTCTATATGGCATTACTTACGCTGTGTCAAATATGTGATTTGTTATTGTGGTTGGCTGGTTACGTGTTCCCATGGTGTTTTTATGGTCACATTGTTTGTTGTGTGCAATTTCGATTAAACTGTGGTGTTGTTTTGTGACAATGTTGACACATTGGTTTTGCACTTTGAAAACGGGTGAGGTTGTATGTTGCTGCGTTTTCGTCATTGCTTAGAATGTATATGTACTCACGTACAAACTGGCAGGTTCAAGTGGAAATCATTGATATGGGCGACTTGGCCGACACTGATTACATCATTATAAATTTTTTATTGAGTGTGGTTGTACATTGACTGTGCGATTATGTGAGCGAGGTGTGAAAATACATTACCAGTGCATCACGTTACAGGTGGATCATTACAGATTCTGTACTGAGGCACGTGTAACACGACCAAACCTATTGTTGTGAGTGGAATACGATATTTTTGCACAAACCTAAACCTAGTGGAATGATCTGACGTTATTCACAAAGTACTACACCTGTTTTGGAGCTCAGATACAACTCGGAACCCAATTCTGTCTTCCATCAAGTTGGTTCTACACTCATTTTCTGATTTCGGGTTGTTGTGACTATAACAAAGCCTCTTATAAGCTGATTGTTTTGTCGTGTTGTGGGCCTCTGAGCTACGAACCGACACTGCATACGGCGGTTGAAGTGCTATTGTTATTCGGCAGGACAACTTGATTGATTAAATCGTTTATTGAACTCAACTACTGCCTGGTCTGACGAGTTTGTTTTCTGATCAATCCATTGTCATTTTCTTTACGTGATGATCAATTTCCTCATGTCACAAGTCAACTTAGCTGATAATTTGGGAATTTTTTTTTTCTTTTATTTGTTAGTCACGGTCTTATTAACGGCAGCCAAGTGGAACATCCTCTTAAGGTGGTTTGTCCGCTTGACTTACCCATCATTCTTTGTTTTTTGTTTTCTTTGGGTCTATGATAAAGTTGTTAATAACAATTCCGGATTTATTTCTAGGACCTCGTTTTATCTTAGTGTTATCTTTATTGGATCAAGATTAGCTGTACAGATTCGGTTTTTGTGCTGTGACCTGGAATTCTCTTCAAGTGTGTTGTGAGTTATTGATCTCTATTGAGCTACTTTCATAGCATCTGATCTTTGATTGTATATGTTTCATTTCGGGTGATGGTGTAACGCTGCAAGATTGTCTTCCATATTTACAGCTTCACAACTTTTTGCTTCTACTAGGCATTCTTAATCTTTATTGTATGTTTTTCCTTTTTCATATATTCATATGATCAATAACCGATGTTGATTGCTGATGATCCTACCTTTGTCATGAATTTTGCTTCCATTTATTCTGGGTTCTTGAATTACAAGTATGGGCCGTCAGCACAACAAAGAAAAGAAGAAACTGGCCGGAGTGTTCGTTCCTAATTATAAATCGAAAACAAAACCGAGTTATTCGAAGTATCAAGATGAAAGAACTATGCCGGTTGGCCTCGGAAGGCCTCTGTATCGTTATCATAGGAAGCGTAATGAATTAAAACATGAGCTATCGAGATCTTTAGGCCTGCCACCTGATACGAAATTCATCTTTCGAAGGAGGTTTGCTGATGATGTTGAATTGGAAGATGAAGATTTCATTGAAATACATCATGGCACTGTGGTTGTAATTGACAAAGATGACTTATCTTTGGTGTTGGTCGTGAGGTGTTCCTCGTTCAGCTCAATGCCAAGTGAGTTAAGGCAAGATTTCGATAATGTGATTTCGACCACTTTTCAACATGCTCAAGCTTGAAATAAATGCACGGTCAATGGAGCATCAAAGGAGAATGAGGATGATGATGAACATCATGTTTGTGGATGGATGGGTTGTTGTGGATGGAGGGGTGGTTCTGATCCTGGTCGCACAGCAGGTAAGTTTTTTTTTTGTACTATGTGATGGTTTGCTGGTTTGATATATCTGTTGTGCATAGGTACCTATGCGGTCAGCGCTTTTACTGCGTCCAGTGTGGACAGGCTACTCACCGATAAGGAGCGCATGGAAAGATTTCATTTTATCAGGGACTTTCTAGCTCGTCGATTTGAAAGCCTTTCTCTATCGGCTTTTAAAGCCAATGTTGCCTCGGCTTTGGAAGCAAATGTGCCAAGTTTCGATGATGTCGAGTGGCAGAATACTGCAAGTGGAAAGGTATTCGCTTCAAATTTGGTGGTCACTTGTGATGGTTTTTCTAATCGTCCTCATACGGACAAAGATCGAACTAGGTATGCATGGGGTTTGTGGAGTATGATCAATCGCCAGAGTGGGATGCCTATTGAAGCAAAGGATGCAGCTGAATTAGGATCTGTCAAAGGGGCGTGCTTTGTAGTTAAGCGTTTTGGTATTAAAGTAGCACTTAGCATATGTGATGGTACTTACGAAATGATATGGGATGTGAATGTAAGTGGTCTTATTTTGGTTTTAAGTATCCAAGTAAGCTAAGATTTGTTGTTTGTGTTCAGGTTCCCCATTACACATCTGCTTCGAAGGCGTACAATCCGGGTGGGAAGGTGATTGAGCATCAAGACTGTGCGGTCTCTCTATATGGCTCTTGTTGTCAGGTTGCGAAGTCTTTGGCAAATAGGATTAGGATACTAGAGAATGAACGGAAAAAGATGTCACCTCCGAAATGGGAAGCATTTAAAAGTGAGCGGGTGAAATCATATAATGATGAATACTACTTCAAAATGAAACGTCATCAAGCTAGCTCGTCTTAGGGACTTTTATACAATGTCTGACACTTCAGTTGTTCTTTGAAACATTTGATTCTAAAAATTTACTTGAGTAATACATTTTGCATTTGGTACTTGATTATGTTTGTTGATTCATTTTTTTGGCTTGTGGCTTGTTTTTACCTTGTGCGTTTGAACGTAAGGTAAGTGAGAACAAGATGGTGAGTTGCATTAAATCGACGCTTAATGCATATTATTTAAAGTACTTATTGAAATATGTATCGGTCGTTCTCAATGTAGTTTCTTAATTTGAGGGGTTCCCCAACATTGTTTATTATGGTCTGAATGAAATGCATTGCCCCAATGTTCTGTAAGCAACTTTTTTTGATTTCCCCCCATTTTCGACACTGAATGGATTGGGGCATGACTAAACGTTTGGGCGTCATATCTTCTCAATTTTCCAATGTTCAATCGAGTTCTGATGTCCTGCGATTTTTACATTCAACGCTTGAGCAAAGTAATCAGGCCTTTATTGATTATTTTCTCTCATAATGTCTCTCGCCAGTCTAACTTCCTTACCGGTTGAAATTATCGATTTGATCATATCTTACTTGGTATAAAAGCTCCCGTTTATACCTTCAAATGACAGCAACAGTGCGGATCTTACTTTCTTACAATTCAACTCTTTAAAACTTCTTCTGCCGTTGCAATTGCTGGGGAAGACTTGGGATATTGTGATCTTGTCATTTGTTTATGATTCTTTATATTTAATTCGATCTCTCAATACGCGAAACCTGGTAATCATGTGGAAGAATCCGAGTTCGAATGCTAGCTTAAACCAATTGCGAAGTCTTTGTTTATCTCAAGTCGAATTCATACCCGGTCCTGACAGCCTCAGTAATGAACTAGGCCAACATTTATCATCCAGTGCTAAAGTCTCTCTACGATCAGCAAATGTCAGCAAGTACATGATCCCAATGGAGATTGCGTGTGACGTGGTTAGCTTGTGTAGCAACACTCTGGTTAAGTTGAAAATGGATTTTGCTGGGGTGGTTGGCTTTTCGCCTGGGATGGTGGCTGCTATTGGCAAATCACACAATCTGAAGGTTCTGATCGTGCAGGGGAGCAACTCAAGGAGCGCAATCAATGACTGCAATTTGTTACGTCAAGTCCTGTGTGCAACAGCTAACTTGGAATCTCTCTCTATCCGATCCGCCTGTCTTGATAATCTCACGCTGCTAACTGGTTCATTACCGAAGTTGCGTCATTTGTGTGTGGAATGTGACCGACAGAATATGAATGCTCTTACGACTTTGTGTCAATCAAATGGAAGTAGGATCAAATTTTTTGAGTGTGTGACTCCGGATGGTATTGAACAATGTGGTGAAATGATTTTGGCATTGCGAAATTCTCTCGAAATACTATTTATTGAATCTATCGCGGATCACTTGCCTATCTTTGTGTGTAGTAAATCTTTCCCTTGGCTTTGAATTCTCAGATGCTTGGATTATAACTCTTATCAAGACAACCTCTTTTGGATGCATTGGCGTATGTTTGATGAGGTAGAGATTGTGATCACGACCTATGGAGGTGGTAGTGATTATTGGCGCAAAGCTTTAAAACAACTAAGGATTCGTAAAGTCAAGAAGCCTCGAAATTTCAAATACATTATCTTCACAACTTGGCATGGTTCAAGACAGAAGGATGACGGGTTAGTGAAATTATGCTCTCTTCAAGGGATCAAGTGTTTTTTCACGCAGCAATTGTTGCTGGAGAAACTTTTGGTGAGTAGTCCTTTGTTGTCATCCGGCTGAGCGATTGTGTTTAATGAGTAATGTCCACCTCCTTATATGACAGGCTGCCGGTGATTGGTTTGGAGATGAACCTGGTTTCTGATCTTTGTTTCATGGTTATTGCTAGGTTGAAATTCGTGAGGTTTGTGCCCTTGTCTTTTTTACATTGCTTGTCATACTTATGTGAATTCTTTTTGTATGTAGGATTGGGTGTATGAATTCAAGTATTCATTCGAGTCATTTTGTATCTCAGCCCACCTGCATAATGCGAAATTCAATTGGTAAACTTATGCAAGGGTGATTCAGTGGTGTGAAGTATGAGCTACATATATTTTTACATATATGAATCATGTATCCCTAACGTGGTCGTGCCTTTAATTCATATCAATACTGCATTTGTACATGGTGTTTGTTTTGTACTACTGCGTGCAAATGTGGCTGGCTATGCAGCGGGTTCTTTTGTGCACAAAAAAATTAATCTAATGTGTTGCACATTGTGGTTTTGTGACTTATTTGAGGGGGCCTGAACTTGTAGGTGACATGGCGGCGCAGCCGCCAGAGCGGCGCCCGCCGCCAATCCGCTAGTCAGCTTTTAAAGGGGATGATTTCTATTCTCATCATGTTAAGTGTTTGTAAGCACTGCCAACATACTTGCCTTGGGTTGAGAAATCCGAGGCATCATCGGATGCATATCCTCGGATAAATCCTGTCCGAGGTTTCAATCCAAGGCAATCTTATGCGTCATGAATTGGCTTGGATCAAATCCTCAGACAAGAGCTGCCCGGGGGCATAGACCCGAGAATACCTCGGATTGTGAGATCCGAGATAAAAATCTTGGCAGTGAAGGATAGATCTAAGCTAGAATACACCACAAAAAACCTCCACAATCAAGGGATAGAACTACAAGACTCAAAGAACAAGCAGGAGAGATGAGCCAAACCGTATTTAGAAAGAATTCTGAAATCACAAATTTTCAGCGAGAATACTCTGACGTGCTGGAACAAAAGAAAGCTGTAGACCAAAGCCTAACTGAATCAAAAGTTGAGAACACAAATCTTCAGGGCCAAATTCAAGAACTTTGCAAGAAATTGAAATCTCAGTTGAACATAGAAAGGAGTCAAGAGACCCATCAAGTGGATTACAGGAAGCTTCAAGAGAAGTGTGGGATGCTCCAATCAGATGTTGAGCATTGGAGAAATCAGAACTCTGCGTCCACTCTCAAAGCAATCCTCTAGGTGACCATGTTTCATTGCATGGTTTGTGATTTTCAAGCACCATCTTTGCTCTTACCTTGCCTTGTGGTGAGGTAAGTGCGGTATGGGAAAGTGCCCGCAGGGGGCCTCGAGGTTTTCAAAAACCAAACTTGTGGTTTCTTTGTACCAAAACTTTGGTTTGATGAAACCAATGAGTTGGTTTGCATTGCCAACTCATTGGTTTGTCACTCTTTCGGCCGGATATTTTTAGTGTATATGGGGTTGTCTGCTTCCCCAACTCCAAGATGGTATGGAGTAGACATGCCGTTCTTAGCCGGGCAGACCACCCCATATACTGCATGTATTGCCATGTGAACCTTGTATGCAAATCTCACTGTTTAGCAAGCATGGGACTTTGCACATTCTTGATCTACAAGCTTTGTCTCATGTTTGTATGGTCTTCAAACTTAGTTTTTTCACTTCTTCCACCATTTCAATTCCGTACTTTGATTGTTTCCAGGAACTTCCTTGTGGCTTCTTTTTCTTCTTACAAGAACTCTTTTATATAGCTTCTAAATGACTCAGCTTCCCAACGTCCTACTCTCTTTATCCTTTTTTCTGAAGACCCTGAGTATGGTCGTAACAAAGCACCTCCTACGCAGAACAAATGTCTTGGCAATTTTTCCAATGAAGATCTACCCCAAACCCTCTCCACTTCTCTGGCAAAAATCTCCTTAGATAGGATGCCTTTTACCAATTAAAAAATAATCTTTTTCTTCCTTCAAATGGGTCTGCTAACATTATATGTTTTGAAGCTTTCACTGGATCCAATACTGATGGCTGAGTTTGGAAATGGATTATTCTTATTTCATTTGGAGCCGTGGTTTTCCCTCTCCTCAAATGAAGCCTGGCCCATTCTCCATTCTCCAATTGATTGAATTCTACATGGTGGTTCAACAATGCTCCCTCTTTCCTTGTCTGAAAATTTTGCCCAATTGCATCATCACCCAGAACGCCACCAATCCAATATCTGCTACTGAAGTTTGTATTTCAGATTTCCTATGTGATTTCAAAAGAAGCTGATAAAGTTGTTGAACTGTGACTGGTCCTTTACTAGACTCTAGGATTACACCTTCTTCTTCTTTTCGTGTTGCCCTCAATAGCATCTTCACTATATCAGCATCAAGTTTGATCTTCTTTAAGTGTTTGACTATATGCCAAGCATTGATCCCATCCAGGTACTTATCTATTGTGTTTGCGGTGATTGATTTCTTTGGAGAATGAGGTATGTCAACTTTACTTCTACCCGCCCACATTACAAAACCATAAATTTCTTGATTGCTAATCGGCTTTCTTTCATCAAACTCTCTACCAGTTGATTTGATGTATTTGATATATTCAGATAAGCCTGAAGAGTATCCTGAGAGGGTTGCTCTAACCCATCTTCCAAGTGCCAAATGAGCTCCTGGTCTTGTAGCTTTCTTTGCAGCTCGGCCAAAGTATCCCAGTACATCATACGGTTGCAGATGCTTGCGTATTTGTCTTGTACCAGCTAAACAAGGCATCTGGAATGACTTGGTTTGGTAATAGTCAAAACGACTCTGTGTTATCAAGTTTTTCAACTATGCCCAATCTCAGTCTCTTTTCAAATCCCTTTCTTGTCAAGACTTATTTTCTCTCTCATTTAGCCATACTCTTACAAGAACGCCTTAAGTTGAACATTTGAAAGCTGATCAACTTCTTGTGTACTGTCAATCTACAGGGACCATGCCTGACACATTTGGAGTATGCATTACATCATTTCCAACAAAAAGGAAGTTACATTTGTATTAAAAAAGCCTCTCAGTCCTCTGGTAATGAAATTGTTATCTCATTCTCTTCTGTCTTTTTTGACGTCTTTCCTCTTCACAATGTGTCTGCTGCATTATTCACTGACACATCCCTTTTTGCAGTTATTGTGTATTGTTTGCTAATGAGTCTGTCTTGGATTTTCTTCCATTCAGCATTTAGAAGAGGATCTCTTGACTTCCTGTTTACAACAGCATTTTCCGTTACTGTATTCTCTGTAAGTACCAGATAATTCCTTCCTTCCACTGTTTCTAACCTCTCAATCATTAACAAGCCTAATCTGATTGCTACCGTTTCAGCCCAAGCAATCCCTCTTTTATCTCCTTTTTTTTCTGGATCTTTCCATGTAGGTTTTAATTCAAATTGAGACCATTGCTTTCCAACTATTATTCCTATGCCATACGGAGTTGACACATCTCCTACCCAACCGACATTTTGGATTTCTGGTTTTGGGATTACCCTTAAATAGTCTGCTTTCCGTAACATCTTTAACCAGACGCCCATGTCTTTCCAAACCTTGTCTGAAATTGGTCTAAGTGCGAATTTATTCCCCCATGTCTTTAACATTCTATAAGTGGCTATGTATAAACTTGCATCTGAGGAAATGCAAATGTTATATGATTTAATCTGCCTACCAGCACCTCCATTTTCTTGAAGGATTGTTGTCTTTCTCATATATATTCTTCAATCTGTTCTATTCTTAGATCAGTTTTTCCTTCTGGAAACCCAACTGTTTTATTCTCTCCATTCCAAATAAAACCTAGATATTTTTGTTTTACGTCAAATTCTCCCCATTTCTTTTCATTTGTTTCAACACCCATTTCTTGGCTGGCTTCTGCCTTTTTTTTCATGGTTGTTTTATTTTATCCGTCCGCCTGTTTTACAAATAGGGTGTTGTCTACCCATCAAAAACTTTCCAGCAACTTGAATTTCCGCATCATGACTTCCTTCCAGGCTTCTTCCGCTTCACCAAACTCGCCACATCCTCCGACACCTCCGAACTGAACCTTTGTATTGACATAAAGCATGTTATTGAAGCCTAGAACCATCTAAAACACCATTGATCCATTGCTACTGGTATTTTCTGGTAGGCCTTGACCCAACCAAAGACTCCTAAGACTAACCTCCCTTCATACCACATAATAAAGTAAGCTACTTTCTTAAAATCATCCCACAATGTTTCACAGTCGTCTTTATTGGCACGGAAGTTTACTGATTCCATTTCTGGGTGGTTCTTTGGGTACAATGGATTATTGATCAGTCTGAAAGAGCTGTCACCGTTGATTACCGCACCTAAAGGGTTTGTTCAAAAAAATCCAAATTTTTGATAAGCTTCTTCTTTAGTGCATGGACCAAACAGTTTCCCCCTTTCAATTTCTTTCTGGAAGTTTTCTTCAATCTTTTCTTTTGCCTGAAGTGCTGATTTTTGTTTTCTGGGCAGTAATACCTCATTCCTTTTACTACCACATTTTCAATACCTTGGCTCAAACCGTGTTCAAAACCTTGCAAAATATGCTTATATTTCACTTCTATGCCGTACTTTTGTAATTCAGACTTCCAAACTTTCAAGTTCATTTCACATGATGGGCGAATTGGCCATACTCTACCTCTTCCACCTACCGGCTCTTTCTCCAATTGAACCAGTGGATGAGTACAGGATTGACACTCAGGTTCACTTATGATGCAGGATAGTCAATCGGCAAAAAACAGGCAGGAAGGCAATTTCCGAAGATTAAGGCAAACATCAACTGAATGTCAGTTACTTGCACGGGTACACATTTTGTCTTTTTGACTTTTTATTTCAAATGTTACAGAAATTAAGCCTTTCTGTATGGCTCACGCTCTTTTCCTTTGACAGGTTTTGCATCCTTATCTTGACAATCTGGGCTCCTGCTCTTGTCCCTGTGACTTATGAACCAATCACTGCTATAATGGTCCTCTCTTTTCCAGCTTTTACCATTGTCATGATGTCTTTTATAACTGCCACCACCTCTACCCCGTCTTCCATTGCCTTTGTAGCTACTAGTATTGGCGGGATGGTTCTTGGTGGTTCCAGAGGACTCTTTTGCTGCTGTTACGGACTTTGGTCAATTAGTAAAAGGGCATATATGGGCTTTAGGACGACCTGGTGCATAAGGGTTTGTTTTATAGTGTCTTTTGTTATAACTTTCAGCTGTGGTTTTAGCTTCTACTAACAGCTCTTCCTGAAGTTCCGCTTAATTTCCTACTGATTTATCTACAGTTTCACGCATGACGCCTTGCCTTACTAACCAACAATACCTGAAAGCTACCATCCACCCAAAGTCTTTACAAAGTTTCTTTACGGCTGTAATATGACCTTTGAACTTGTCTGCGACTGGTTTCCATCCGCACGATGTTAAATGATTACAGAACAGCTTGATGCAATCTCCCCATACTTCATAATCTATAGTAAGTTCTTCAACAGGTGCTTAGGAGAATGGTGAAAATTCTTGCGCAAACTTTTCTTGCCGTCTTCCAACCACTAATCACCTCAAGCGCAAATTGATCACATTATCAATTTACTAGGTCCAATCAAACTTCAAATTAAAATTAGATTTCTCACCAAAACCAAGATAAAGTTAAAAATTTTTCATCAGAACCTTATACGTGATCTTTCAAAACATCTACAAGAAATTCGAATTACGGAGAAATGGATAAAACAATGGAAGAAAGGTTGGCAAAAGCAGAGGCAAGTCTAGCTAGAGTAACCTGTGCAATGACAAATGCGGCCAACGCAACACCAACAACCAACGAGCCCTCTGAGACAGCTGGCCCAAGCGCAACTGTCAACCAAGCGGAGGCTCCTCCGACAGCGGTCAGCCAAGATCCAAAACCTTTGATGGGTGCGGAACCAGAAAGGCCAGCACCAAATGCACAGGCAACCGCAGAAGTCTTAGTCTTAGTGACACCAGCGGGTGGGCAATTGGAGACGGTGGTCAAGGAGGATCTGGATGGTGTGGCAATATTGGAACTTGAACTAAGATCCAAAACCAATGACAGCACCTGGGATCCACAGTCGCACATGAGCAAAGGGAAAGGCAAAAGGGAGGACACTCCAACAGAGGAGGAAAGCAGCTTACACTCTGATGACATGGAGCTGTGTGAGTACAGGCCACCTTTCTGCAAACTCCCCCCCCTTCATGAATTCTACTAGGCTACGCTACTCCACCATGTCCTGTTACACAACCAGCTAGGATACGACAAGCACCATGTGAAGTCAATGTATAGGCAGATTCCAAACACATAAGCAATGATGATGTCCAATGTATATCACAAGATATGTGTGGCAGTACCTTGATAAGTCCTTGTAAAGACCCTGTCAGTTGACACGGGCATGCTAGCCAGCTGCTAACAAGGTGTTGCTGGGAGGCTTGTGTTGCCAAGAGTGTATTCAAAGATTTCCTCTGAAGTTGGGTTTGATTGGAATACAAGACTTACATGTGTTGGTTTGTCAACTGTAACAGCCCACGTAGATTGTGTCATGATGCTGCAAGCAAAGGTCCAAGAGGTGTCTGTCTTTCAAAACTATGCGGAAGGAACGGCTCTCTTTGCACACCTGACAGAGCTTGCAGCCAGCAAACCAGTGGCCAACCAGGCTCAAAGCAAACACAGGAATAACGACAATCATCCTTGTGCAACCTCTAATCAGCCTAGTCCTCATTGGCTAATTCAAGAAAACCTGTCAGAGTTCTCCTTGGAAACCAGGAACGGGCCAATCAAAACATGGTACAGCCCGCCAAATTGAGGCCTGAGGCCTGAGGTACGGTCAACGGGCATACTGCTGTTGTAAAATTTGTCATCTGTGTCAAGTCCTTCACAGCTTAAGGAATAGGTGGTTAAGTGTTAGAACTGGTGAGGTTACGCGGTTAGAGTGTTATGTAGGTGGTGTAATGGTTGAGTGTCTTGGTGTCCGGTTTCATGTGATAAATAGGTATAGGATGTTTGAAGTAGTCCAAATCGAATACTTCATCAGGAATGTTCAATGGATTGGTTATCAAATATGAACAGAGTCTTTCCACTTTTAGAATAGTTCTCTTTGTCTATGCGTCTGGGTGCCTATGGAAGTGTGTGAACCCCTGTTTTGTCAAAAAAAATCATTTCCATGTGTGTGCAGATGTTTTTCATATATACCCTGACCCTCTCGAGCTCTCTCTTTCCTCCTCACCGTTGGAAATAGAAAGCTAAAGAGTAAGTCTTTTCATTCTACTTATTATGTTTAAAGTTACCTGGATTGTGCTCATTCTCTCAATTAGATCTTTTTGTTTCTCTTTCACATCCTGCATTCCTGCAGGTAAGGTGTTGATCCTTCAGCCAATTGTTCTTTCCTTCTATTTTTGAGAGTCTCATAGAGCTCACATCTCAAACCTGTCTGTCCAGGTTTTTCCATTTCTCTATTGCGTAGATTACTACCTTTGCTAAAACAGTTGCCCGGTCGACCAAAGATGAGAAGAGAAGAGAACCAAATTTGGCCACAGTCTGCTGCAAAGCTGCTGCACAGCTGACCAAAAATCAAAATCCGGTGCAGCCAAAAAAATCTTAGGGTCCCAGAACCACAGCCTTTATTCAACCCTACCTCATCCTCACTGTCACACCTTGACTTCTTGGTTTTGTTTTTCACATCACAACATGGCTTATTGTTATTGTTCACCCAACATCAAAGTCCTGGCAGTGATGTGGCGCCTATGTGGAATTCCTATGTCAATCATCCGACGTCGACTGAAAAAGCCCATCTCTCAATGGTCATTTCGGCAATGGATGGCTCTTTATCACCACACTCAAGTGGTAATATGTGATCCTCATGACTACAAGCAAAGAGGTCAACACCAAGTTATGAATAACAAGGCTTGTCAATTCATGGAAGGCATCATTGATCACTATCCGTCACTTTTCCTGGACAAGGTGCGGGAAAAGCTTTACAACGCACACGGAAAGATGCCCTCAAAAAGCACTATCCAACTTGAGCTTTGATCTTGCTGACTTATCAGCTTGAAGAAAGCCACAGTGAGCAATGTTTGGAAGAATATTTGGGCTAGACTCCAATGGATCCGTGAACACATGAACACTCTGTCTTATTTTAAGGTGTTTGCTGGTCCGTACATTATCTTCTCTATCTCATCTCCTTCAATCATTGATTTTTCTTATTTTTCTAGTTTGATATGATCACATCTGGATAGACAAGAGTGCTATTGTGGTTGAGATCTCCTACAAGTGCGTCAGCAAGCCAAGATTGGGTCACAAACTACTTGTGGTGTTCCCAAAATATATTGGACTTGCTTCTTGCTCCTCCCTGCAATTAGTTACCGTGGCATACTGGCTTTATTGGTGGTAGAAGGTTCTGTTAAAAGAAAAAACCTTGAACAGTCTCTTGAATACAATCTGGTACGTTTCTCATAATTCAAGCTCTTCAGCCATATTAATCTCCTCACTAACTTCTTGTACAAGATCTCAGCTCCCCCGCATGAATCAATACTCAACTCCCAACAGTATTATTGTTTTGGATGATGCATCAATCCATCACGGTGGCCACATTCATGAACTATGTGAAACAAAAGGTAAGGCTTCTTATTTACTATTTCTGTGTATGTTCTCTTGTGTGTTTTTACTTTTCACCAACCAGCTTGGTTGGTCGGTGTCCTCCTCCAATACCTACCAGCTTATTGCCCAGAAACGAATACGATTGAATTAGGATTGAATGTGCTGGAATACCGCCTTTGCAGGTCACAAATTGTGTCAGACCCCAGAAACCAAAAGGAACGGATACGTCAGGTAGCAATGTAAACATTCAATGCTACATTAACAAAGAAACTTGACCATTGCTCTGGATATTGGATGTTGCAAGATATACCCCACTCGCTACTTTTCTTGTTTCTGTTATGCTGTTCTCTTTCTATCATGATGTTGTCACATGTGATGTCGGCCCTGAGTACTAAACCAGAGTACCAATGGGCGACATATAATAAAAACCTTAAAAATAGCAATTACAACTCAAGGCTCAGTTTCAAGAGTCAAGTTACATACGATTTAGCATATGTAACATGTGCAGAACTTACATCAAAGGGTTTCAACACACATAACTTTGATGCGAACCAAAGCTACATATATTTCACAGCTGTAACACATATGTAACAAGTGAAATATACTTATAATCCAATAGGAACTGTCTTACTGTAATTAACCTAACCATAGAACCACGATTTGTGCGCACTTGTAGTCCAAAGATTTTCAAGGTTCAGACTATATAAACCCTGGAAATCCAACCAAATTGAGAGGAAGAACATCATCACATTATTATCCAACAACTACACGACTTTGCTTTTATTCATTGTCCTAGAACCTTTAAACTTTGCTTATTAATTACCAAACTTTAAAGGCCTGATTCTACAAACCTTGAAACTCAAACCTTGTGTCTTGTTGCTTATTCTGTGTGCTCATTCAACTTCGTTTCTGATTAGATTACTTGTAAGGAAGTAGTCCTTGGGTACTGCTTATATCAGATTTGAGATTCATCTGATATAAGAAACTCTAAATCTACGGGGAAATCTCTATTAGTCAGAGTGTAAAGTTCGCGGTGTTATAATAGACTTTAACACCACCTTCTTTGACCTTTCTTTGAGTAAGAAGAGGATCAAATTAGGATTGAGAACTGCGCGTCAGTTGCTATTATTTTTAATTATTGTAAAGAGAATAATTAACCCAAAATCCCTGGGCCAAAGCCTTTGTTTAAAGGTCAACTAACTGGAGTCTTTACTTGTTTATTCCAAGTAAAGCTCTTACACCCAAATCTCTACCCATTCATACTTGTAGATATTGATCTACACGACTTTGGTACAAGTGACCATACCTTCTACAACCTTTTTATTGATTCTACTAGCCTGACAGACGCTAGTAGGCTGACATGTGAAGACATTTCAAAGCAAGTTCCTTGAACCCTTTTTGAAATTGAGTTGTTTTGTAACTAGCGCTTGTGAACTTGAATCAAGTGAAGAGACTCCTCACCTTACATGTAGTCATACACTTTGAATGCCTTTTGGATTGGCCTAGTCTGGAATGAAAGGCAAGAAGTCAGAACGACAGAAATAAACTACTGATTTCTAAAAGAATAGATTGATTGTGAAAGCTTCTAAAAGAATAGATTGAATGTGAAAGCTCAAAGACTCAATCGAACAATTTTTTACGATTGATTGATCATGAAAGCTAAAAGACTCAATCAAACACTTTTAAAAGAATCGATTGATCATGAAACATCAAATAATAGACTGATTGATTCAAATCATTTGATCTTGAAACCTAAAAGAATCAAATGATCAATTTGATTCATTTGATCATGAAAGCTATCAGAATCAATTGATCTGTGATTCCATGATGTGACTGTTGCAGTTGAAGGCAGAGGTTATGAAATTTATAACAAATCTAAGCTCAATTGATTTGCATCCAAATCACTATGCTCATGTCAGGATTTTTTTAAGATTGGTGAGCTTTCTTTTTGACATGAAAGCCACTCAATTGATCTTTACACCCATCATTTGAATGATGGGATCATTGATATTTCTCTCAGATCTTCATTATGGTAATATGGTCTCAAAACTAATTGCACCCATGAAGCATCAGAGTGCACATAAGAATGATCTCCAAAAAGGATCAGCCTGCATCAAAAACAATCTCCATATTTTGATGAAGTGTCACAAGTGAACCTATCTTTGCAGTTACAACTTTGAATTGCTCTTGAATGCAAGAAAGCAATTGGGGACATTTGTACAAGCGTAAGGTATTTAACAGGGTAAGAGAAAGAGTGTTCAAAGCATGTTTGAAAAAGTTTTGAGATTGTCCTTGAGGAGATCATCTAGCCGTTTGATTTGCCTTTCCATCTTGGATGTGGTGTTTTTTATATTTTCAAGCATTGCTGTAGAGTGTGTTGATTGCTATCTTGTTGAGGCCTTTTGCAGCTAGATCTTCAGGAGGTAGATCATCTTTGTTGATGTGTCTGTAGTCGCTTACTCCTGCATCTCTCAACAGCTGCCTGGTATTGGTATGTAAGCTGGGAGGCAATCCACTGCAAAGAGCAGTGGCGGGGCGGGTTGCCTTGCCACCGCTCAAGGTTTTTTTTTGTAGCGGGTTAAAGCGACCTGCCATTGCCCCAACCAAATTTTGGGGTTTTGGTGTGCTGCAAAAATAGCAGGGCAATATACTTTTCCGCCCCGCAGCCCTTGCTCAGAGCGGCATGTAGCGCTCATGTCAGATGACACCAGATATTGACCTCAACACTCATCTCATATTGATTCTTGGCGCCTGCGACCCATCAGACAAGCACGACACCACTTTGCAACCCTCAATTCACGCTATCATTCCCTCCTTGACAAGCCAAATCTTTGGCTTGCTGCTAACATCAATGCCCCAGCAGATCCAAACGACCAAAGCATAACGTAAGCGCTCTTTCTGCCCCTTCAATAGTTACTTTGAAGACTAAACTGATGAACTGAACCCCATTTCTTTCATGCAACATCTCCGGTTATTGGAACTTACTTTCCAAGGCATATCAGGTGACAACGGCCGCAATTTCGCCTATATATCAAGCTGAGTTATTGACTTCTTTTCTGTTTCCGGCACAACCATTCACTGATTCTTGTAAAAACATTAGCAATTTGATTCATTCATTGATACTATCACAACAATACACCATTCTCTTTTAAATACACAATCCAAAAAAACTTACCTTTCTCCTCTTTTCTCTCAATTTCTCATGGTACTATTGATAGATTCCAATTCCAACTATGGCAACCCTTGCTCCTCCTACTACTAGTACAAGTACCGGCCCTACACTTTGCCCTCGCAGCCCTAGTAGTCCTAAGCCTGGTTTTGTGGTTTAATCCCCAGATTCACAAGTCTTTTTCCAACGTCCTTCTTCCAATAATAGTGACAATGAGTTACCCTCCAACATCGATTTCAATCAACGTGCCTTCAATCCGGCTCAGAATCTCGATGAATCCCACTCTGATTTGGTTGTTGAGATTACTCAAGCTGGTGATTTCTTAGCCAAGATCCCAAAAAAGAAGAAGGCTACTCAGATTGTCAAGGTGAACAATACACATGCGAAAAGTTGTCCTTGGGGTTCTGGTACATCAGTCTCATTGAGTCAAGGCCCAGGAAAGAAAGCCAAGGCCAAGAAGGTCGTGCTGGTACCCATCCCAGTAAGTAAAACTTCTCGATCTCATTCTTTACATTTGATCATCAACTAACATATGTTTCATTCTGTTTCACTTCCGTTCCCTATTCCATTTTTCTCTATCTCATTGTTCTTTCTTCAATCTCCAAATCACGTTACCTATACCCTCATCTTCAGGTTGGGGTTCATGATTGTATTGAAATAAATCAGGATTCCGGTATAGAGATTGTCAAAAACGAAGGAGTTTGCTATAATTTGTATGCTCATTGCGATGGAGCCAAGGGCCGCTCTGCATGTCCTCAAAGATCATGTGCAATGCAAGCTGGCTGCCAACTACCTCCATCACGAGCTCAAGAACAAGCTGCTTTGGATGCTGCTTTGAACAAAGCTACAGGTCAACCAACCCTCAATTCATTTTTATCACACACCACCTTCAATGTCAATTTATGTAACACTGTCCCGGTAATGTGGATCTTGTTACATGCCCTTCCATTCAATCAATTCTACAATGCCCCTCTCTGTGCCACATTCAAACTTGCCAACCATCGTGCCAATTTAAGAACTCCGACTTGGGCTGCTGGTGTGGAAGAGTACTTGTATAGCAGTTTAAGTGTGTCAGCTATCTCCTCATTAAAATTAAGTACTTGTTTTCTCTCTTTATCTTGTCTTTAATCTTCACTGATAACCATTATGTCTACAGAATAACAAAAGCAAGTTTTTGTTGATCCACAATGTTTGGACCACAAAAGGAAATTGCTACGCTTTTGTCGGTGTATCAGCCAATTATATCAATGACAACTGCAATTTTTGGACTCTCCATCTCACCTTGAAGCCGGTTGCTTGGAATAAGTACGGCGATTTTGAGCCAAACCGGTTGGTTGTTTCATAATGACTCACAAGTTGCACAAAAAGATAAGTTCTCCAATCTTTTTCCTTTTCATTTACTACATTTCTAATCCATTTCATTTCCATAACTAATCTGTTATCTGTTGAACTCTTTACATTCTAGGTCAGACAACTGATTCAGGTGATTTCAACAACACGACGGCTTGCGAAATGGAAATCATGTTCTCTGAAGACAACAATGCAATTGATTGGGATTCTGCGCAACATCATGTACGATGTTATGCGCACAAGCTCGGCTTAATTGTCAAGAAGGGTCTCAAGGTATCAGGCCTATCTGCTGGTCACATTAAGCCTACCACTCCTGCGGACACCGCAATTCCAGTTCCAGATATCACCTTGAATGATGATCTATCCAAGAATATTTATCATGACAAATCCGACAACAAAGACAATGTTATCACTTCTCAAGCTGAATTTGGATTGAGACACAAGAAAGCTGAAGATGACAATGAGGAAGATGATCCTACTTATGATGATCTGCCTACCAATGGCTGTATTGTGGTAAAAGGTGCATTGAGTATGTAATTGTGAATTCTACATGAGCAGTCCAATCTTTCCCTGATTTGTTGATTCTAGGAAGGATATGAATAAATTCATGGCAGAAACTTTTGGAAATTATTATTTACATTCATATCAGTCTATGTGTGCCTAATTTGTGCCCTACATTTCATCACGGTTTGCCACAAGGTCAAAGAACTTCAGAAATTCCAACCTCTGTATATAATCCGTGATTACATATGAAAATACTACCCATAGATGAAGGCTGTAGGGAACAGAAATGTGGAGAAGCATAGTGCAGAAAATATTATCAAATTTAATTTCAATGTATATGTATCTTGACAAAGATTGAAGATATTCAAGATCGAAGTCTTATGTATAGTACAAAAATAGTATTTTTTATCCATGATTTTCCTTTCAACCCTCAATAACTCAGTCAATTTACATGATAAAGTTCAATAGACTATATATTCTTGATCTGTGAATACAGGAGCAGGTGTGTACAGATTTATGATGACATATGGTGACATTGAAATTCTGGTGGTTGGACAGGCAAATGGCCCCACATAATATTACGTTGATCCACTCTTTTAGTTCACTTTACGTTACTTTGTAATACATCATTAGAGTGATATTTTATTATATCATTTCAAATGAGGGGTGATCAATTTGTCACCATCCTTGCTCTTACCTTGCCTTTCGTGGTGAGGTAAGAGCTATGTGGGAAAGTGCGCGGTACAAGCACCGTTTTGGTTTCTTTGAACCAAAACCTTGGTGTTACAAAACCAACATCTTGGTTTACTCCACCAACGTTGGTTTTTTTTCAAACCAGTGTTTCATGTCATGCTTGACCGTGCTCTGGTCGTAAGGATGGTCATCCCTTTTATGTAGGGTGGGCGGGATGGAAAAACAATTTTTCTAGTTGAAAAATGATTAATCGAAAGGTGAACTGAGAGATTTGATATTTCCAATTCGAGCTTGAGAACTTCAGCACAGGCAAATAAGTTGTCGAAAGAGAATGTACTTGTATTTCTCTTTCTTGAACTTCGCCTTAGCGTGTGACATGTAAGTTTATCTGTCACGTTTCATTTCACAGCTCGTGGACGCTTCCACCAAAGCGTGCCTTAATTGGTGTATCTAAAGTCATTTTGTCTTCCTGAATCTTTCATGAATCTTTCATGAATCTTCCATGAATCTTTCATGAATCTTTCATGGATTCAGTGGTAGGCTCTGTCAGGCCAGAGACTAGTAGATGGGAGCTGTGAATGTGAAGTAATATGGCTTCCGGGGTATGAACATCGAAGGCCCAGTGTAAGACAGAATAGAATGCAATGTAGAGAAAGAGCAGACCAGAAACCTACTTGAAAACTACTTTCAAAATGCACCACCTGGCTCATGAGGCCTAAATTTCCTCAGAGGACTCATTGATCACATTCTCTCTGGTAGCCTTCCTCTTGGGAGTAGCACAGGCTCTCTTTTTAGTTGGTTGTGAAGGAGCTTTCCCTTTGGACTTGGCTTCAGTTGAAGCCGAAGCAGCCAAAGAAAGAGTGGTGTCAGAGGCCACCAACGGAACACCAGAGCTGGATCCATATGCAGTCAACAGTGATTTGAAAGGGGTGTTGGGTGCAGGCACATTGAGCCTTCCAAACAAATCTGAAGTCAGTATACATAGAATTATATGTATGAGTATGCACAAACAATTACTGACTTTTTAGACTGTGTGCGTGCATTTGGCACAGACAAATTGCCATCCTGCAAGGCAGCCTTAGTAGTGACTTCTTGATGGCCCAAGGTCGGGGCTACTTTGTTCACCTGTGATGTTAATGGCAGTGAGAAACATTTACCCCTGAATGAAGGATATGACTCACAAGCACCACATATTGTAATGTCTCTTCGTTGAAGTCCTCAATGTAAACATGGAAGTTACACTCTTGTCCCTTCTTGACAATTTGAGGGGAACCCAGAAGGTGCTTGTAGGGTGGGATGTGGTATCCCAAATTGAATGATTGGGGGAGCTTATTCTAAAGCAAAACAGTGAAAATGGGAATCAAATGCTAGTTGCAACACAATGTTTGAGCATACAACCAAGCTCAGGATGGAAGTTGCAGTTCTGGACCATTGCGCACAGCATGCTGAGGTCGGGATTGGTGGATTTATCTTTAAGGAATTGCCAGCATTCCTCAACCTTGAATCCAATATCAAGGACTCTCACAATCCCGCTGAGCCCAATCATGTCCTCCATGTTTGATGTAAAGCTCTCAGCATTGCCAAGCAGCGTGCAATTGGTACCTTCAAAGTACAACTTGTTGTTCAAGGTATCCTTGGTATTAGTTGAGAAGAGGGCACCTTTCAAGAAGTAAATTTTGCTGGCTTCAAGCATGTAAAACTTGCAGCTGACACCCATTGCTTGGATTTTGTAAGACAGTTTCTGTCTGCAGGAAGCACCACCATGGTAGATTGAGGTGGAGTAAGATTGAAATTCAACTTTGTAGAGCTGTTCTTGAGTTAACAGGGGGGACAAATTATAGATTAATGTTGGAATAAATGCATTGCCTTTGATCATTCAAAGTAGCTAACCTTTTCCTCAACCTTGAAAATACCTGAAAGATATAGGCCATGGCCTGCGTAACATGTCAGACTGACCTGGTCGGCTGTTCAGGAGCAGAAATTATATCAGACATAGTGATCAATACAGCCTTTTTTTAAATTTTACATTTGGTTTGGGACCCTTAAATTTTAAGTAAAATTTAAAGGTCTTGAACCACCTTTAGAAGTGGTTCACGGTTCTGTGATCTTGTAAATTGTCTTAAAATTTATAAAGTATTTCAAACCGACAGGCACATTTTGAGCAAAAAAAACCACTTCCATTGTTTGTATTTTTTTTGTTTGTTCCTGGATTGTCACTGTTATTTGTCCAAAAAAAACATTGATTTTTTCTCACCGCTTTGGACCAAGGTCTTTGCTTCTTCATCACTTGCAAAGCCACTAAAAATATGGTCAATATCTTGATGATGAAAAACAAAAGAAAAATAATAATAAAACAGATGTTGATCTAAGAAAAAAATTGCCATGGTGGTTTGGCAAACTTTGTACCTGACATTCCTCAACACTTAAAACTTGAATTTACGGTGTTTGAGACTTTGCAAACCCAGATTTTAAGGTGTGGACATCCTTAAAATACTGGATTGCCACTCTGCGTGCAGGGTGTTCACACCTCTTTTCTTGAACTGCCCTAATGGGGCTGAATGCTTGCTTTCAACGGGGACCCATGTGAAAATTAACCATACCGTGTTACCCCTGCAAGAAGACGTACTTGGTTGTGAAAAGAGGTTGCTAGTATATTCCGGTTTTCCAGAGCGGAGGACTTCTAAGAGAGACTTAATGGTGGGTTTGATGAATCAGCTAGAAAGATCAACTATGGTGTAAACATGGGACGTAAATCCAGCAAACATCAAATCGCTGCTGGTGAAGGGGGGCTAGCAGATGGTCTCCAGATGTCAACACCACAAGCAAACAATAGGGTTGAGACAGTCAATTCAATGAACCGGGTTGACACATGCAGCGGAATGTGTGATTGGTAATCTCCAAGGCATCAGGATTGCTATTCAGGAAGTACTAACAACAGGCTCTCAATGGATGTTTGACAGCTATATCAGACCTCCTGTGGCTCATCAACATGTTTAAAAGCGCTCATTCTCATTCACATATTTTAAACCTCATATCTTCTTTAAATTAAGCACTACTATCATACAAGTTTTGGCTATGAAATTCACTGTTTCTATTTGATCTCAAAGTGTATCTCAACTTATCTGCAAAGACTGAACTACTGTTGTACCATTTAAAAGTGTAATACATTAATATTATCTGAATTACTGATGTACCATTTGCAACTATAATAAATGTTTTGTTTTGTCAAAAAATGCTTGTAATGACTAAAATATATGATGGGAACAATATAAAAAGAAAATATTTGATCAAACTAACAAGATAAATCAGTTGATTGACTGAGTATTTGACCTATAGATACATCGGTTGATTTGATTATAAAACTTGTTATGATGTTATGTATGTGACAGTTCTAATTACATCATTACTGTTTGCTAATCATATTTCACTCTAAATAGCTTTATATACTATTAGCATATTTCACTTATATACTCTAGAATAGATTGTAGATAGGATTGGTTCTTCTTTACCTTTCCTCTTTGATCTGACAATCTGTTCTAGGTAAGCTCTAACTTTATCAGGTTATGAGCCCATCTTGCTGATTCTATAAGACAAAAATCAACTCACAAAACAATTTTGAAGTACATTATGAGCCCATCTCGCTGATTCTATAAGACAAAAATCAACTCACAAAACAATTTTGAAGTACAAATTGATTGATCGATCAGAACTTCCAAAATCTTCTAGAAAGTCCAAAGGAAAAGTCCATCTCTGTATTTAGATGAAAAACTCTGAATTTCTTAAATTCTCCAACAACTAAATTGTATAGTTTGTACAATTGATCTAGTTTACCACTCTAAAATCTTAACTTTATCTTTGTTTCAACAATAATGTCCGTTCCAACTTCCACTGCTGGTGATAAACTACCATCATCATCTCAAACTCTGTCTTCGTCAACTAGTCGTCCTAGGACCACTACTTGTACTGAATCAAATGTTTGACTTGAATCTCAATCTGAATACAAACCTAGCACGTATACTTTGTCTCATACAAACGAGGGACTTGATGCTACAGGAATCAAACCGTTAGAAGCGCCAGGCATATCTTCGAACTACCACCAATGGCAATTTGTGATGGGAACAATAATAAGAGGATCATCTTATGGGTATGTCTTGAAAGACATTCAACCTCACCCTCTTCCAGCATTGGAAGAGGGCAATTGATGTAAAGTTTCAGCTTTGATCTTACAATATGTTGCTTCTTCAAATTATGAATATTTGTCGCCGTATGAAGATGATCCAAGATCCCAATGGAAAGCCTTGCATGAAGCACATCAAGAAGCCTCTTCTGGTTCAATAATGTATTGTTCAAAGAAACTTGTAAACGCGAAAAATGGGAGATGCTTCAATCACTGAGCATTTGGAAACAATGTCTTCAGACTATCAAAGATTCAAAGCTTTGGTCACGACTAAGAATCCACTCACTGCTGATACAATTTTTGCCACAGCAGTCAGTTTATCATTGACATCAGACTGGCAACCAGTACTCGCACCACTACTACAAAGGGATTTGGTCACATCAACGACGATCTTGAAGGTTTTGCGGGAAGAGGCTACTCAATGTTTGATCTCATCTGAGGAAGTCAAAGTAGTGGCAGCTGTTAAGAATGAGAAGTCTGAAGAACAAGTATGTTCACATTGTGGCAAGATAAATCACTCTATCAACGATTGTCATATTTTGAAATAGAAGTTGGAAAAGTACAAAATCTTGAAGGCTGAGAAGTTTAGTGGAGAGACTGCATAGGCTACGCCGACCAAAATTTAAGTCAAACGATCTAAGGCAAAGGCTAAAGCGGCTGCAGTGTCACAAATCTCATCTGACTCTGATGTCTCCATTGAAATTAACTCAGAGATTTCAGCGGCTGCTACAACCAAAGCGGCAACAGACACATCAAATTTGTGGTTAGTCAATTCTGGAACATCCCAAGTTATGACACCGTTCTCTGGTATTATCTCAAACAAGAAATCGGACAATACTACGATTAGTTTAGCTAATGGATCAACAATCAAATCAACTTCCAAGGGATTGATTGACTTACCGTTCAGTAACTTCACGGACATCAAGTCTCTCTATGTTCCTTCCTTATCTGAACCGTTACTATCCGTCTCACGACTTGCTGATAAGAACCTTGCGACGGTATTCAATTCGGCAGACGTCTCATTTGTTAAAAACTGTAAAGTGACTGGGGATGTAATTGCGGTTGGAGAGAGAAGGGGGAACTTGTATTACCTTGATCACAAGGTAAGTAATTCAAGTTCCGATCAGACAACATCTAAAGCATCAAACTCTGACGTTGACTTATGGCATTGGTGATTCAATCATCCTGGATATGCGGCATTAAAAAGAAAACTAACAGTAATGAAGTTAAATTCTGATGAGACTGAACTTCGTAAATTGCATTCTTGTAACATTTGTATTCAAGGAAAGATGAGAAGGAGAAATATGTCAAGTCGTGCTGGGTGGAGGTCAATTAAACCTCTTAGTGTTGTACATTCAGATGTTTCATCATATTCTGTTGTGTCTCAAAAGCGTTATAAATAATTTTTCACGTTCATCGATGATTTTACAAAATTTACAAAAATCTATTTAATGAAATCAAAAGATGAAGTCCTTTCAAAATTTAAACTTTATTTCAATGAGATGACTTCAAAAGTCGATGGAACTATATCTGAGCTTAGGTCTGACAATGGAACAGAGTACATCAATTCTGGATTCACTTCTTTTTGTTCTGAAAAAGGTGTTCTTCAAACAACTGGTCCACCTGATTCGCCTCAACTCAATGGAGTTGCTGAAAGATGGAGCAGAACTATTAAGGAGAAAGTGGGATGCTGTTTAATTGAGTCAAAGCTGCCGGATAGATTCTGGGGAGATGCATTAGAATATGCAACTGAGACCATGAACAATATGCCAACAAGGACAAACGACAAATTCCAAACACCAATTCCTTTACTGGGTCTTTGTGAACGTCAAGAACGTACCTACCATTCTTTTGGTTGTCAGGTATGGTTTCACGTTTTAAAACCAATGACAAAGCTCCAACCGCAAGCTAAACCTGCTATTTTTCTATCTCATTTAATTAATAATGAGGGAGCAATAGTTTGGGATATTGAGAAGGGGTGTGCTCTCAAAGCCACTTCACTTGTGTTCCTTGATAAAGTTTTTCCTGGTCTCAAATCAGAATCTTTATCACTCAAGCCATCGGATCTATCAGTTCTTCTGTGGCCGACACTAGAAGAAAATAATTCACCTTCTACTGTTATCAATCCTTTTCAATCTTTATCAATAATAACAGAAGAATCTATAGCAATTGACAATGAAAATCAAAATTCTTGTCCTATTCGTTCAAGACGTCAACCAGTACGTTACAGGGAATATGGAAGAGCTGCTTTTATAGATTCAGAGAATCAGAGAAGGATCTGGGGACGTTCAAACAAGCCAAGAAGCCAGCAAACTGGGATCTTTGGAAGTTAGCTGCTGAGGCTGAAATGGTGTTGCTTGTTGGAAAGGAAACGTGGAAATTAGTTCCTAGGCCAGCACGAAGAAAAATCATTTGTTGTAAATGGATATTCAAAACCAAACGCAATGTGGACATGTCGATAGATAACCTTAAAGCTAGATGAGTGGCTCTAGGTTTCTCTCAAATTAAAGGCATTGATTTTTCCAAAGTTTTTTCACCAACCAGTTGACAAGAATCAATACGATTATTCTTATCTGTTATGGCTAATAACAATTGGAAGGGACAAGCAGTTGATATCAAAACCGCGTTTCTTAATGGTGAATTAGACGAAGAGATATGCATGGCGCGAGCAGAAGGCTTCAAAGAGTTCAAACATCCGGATTGGGTGTGTAAAATTATAAAGTCCTAATGTGGTTTAAAACAATCACCAAGGCAATGGAACATTAAATTACATCAATATTTAATTTCAATAGGTTTCATTTGATCCCAGCATGATCTGTCTATCTAGTATAAGAAAAATGATATTGGTAAAATCAAATGTTTATTGGTTACTCATGTTGATGACATTGCAGTAACTGGAGAAGATCAAGAAATTTTAAGCTTTTGAAAATCAATCAAAGGATGTTTTGAAGTTCCTTCCGACAAACCTTTGTCTCACTTTCTTTCTCTAAGCATATCCAAAGTCAAAGATCAGACTGTTTCAGTCAATCAATCTCATTACATCTCAACTTTACAAAAACAATCCACAAAACAAGAAAACAAATTATAAAATTCACCAAACAACGATAATTTCAAAACTTTAATTTCTTGTGGTGAAAAGGATTTAATCACTGAAAATCCTTATTCAAGCTTGGTTGGAGGTCTTTTATGGGTTGCCCAGTGCACTCGACCGGACATAGCTTTTGTAGTACAGCCGTTGTAAGATCTATTGGTAGTTTTTCCAACAGATGTGTTGTCGCCGGATTTAACGTCAAGGTCCAAAACTCGGAAAACCACCCCCCAGATTGACAACTCTATCCTCTCATCGTTGGAGATTGGACAGGATTGGCCATGTAAGTTTCCCATTTCCTCTCTCCTTATAATTCCATTACACCCTACTGTACCATACCGAAAGCCGGTTATTCTTGGTTATGATCTATTTTTTAATTTTTTAATTTTTTTAATTTTTTTTTTAATCATTTGCTATTCATCGCTTCCCATCCCACTTTCTGAAACCCACCACTTGACTTCCTCATCATCACATCTTGTCCATCCACACCCTTCAACAGATCCTCATCGGGCTCTGGACATTGTTTCAATCGTGAGTAGCGTTTCAATTACAAGGAATCTCCACTTTCGTTTCTCTGGTACCTCGCCAGACTGATATCGTGAACCCAACAACCACTTTCACCAGTTCCTCATCCCAGAACGTTTCACCAGCTCCCCTGAACAGTTTGGATAAGTGTTCCATTGTGAGTTATCTTGTTCTTTGTTTGCTTGTGCCTTGGTACCTCATACTGATATTGATGTTGTATACAGATGCCCATCAATACTTATACGACCGATATCAAGATGGTGGTTGTTCAGATGGTGATGCGTGGCATGCGTTTCCACGAGATTGTTGCCACCCTCAGTGTGGATGTTTCTTGAACGTCGGTCCGGCACTGGTTTGACCTGTACCGGACCACTCGGGCGGTGATCACAAATCCAGATGATCACATGAGGCAAGGAGCTCGCCCGATTTGAGGTCCAGCTCAACACAATTTCATTCTCAAATCTCTTGAACACGATCCGACTTTATGTCTAGACAAGCTTCAAGATAAGATCTCCAACCGATTTGGAATTCATGTGTCTCTCAAGACACTTTCAAACAAGGTCCGGTCTCAAATTGTATGGACTCGGAAAAAGGCCAGAATCATGCATCCTAATCAATCGGCGGTGGCGCGCGGTGAATATATTGGTGAGATCTTTGGCATCGATCCACAATGCCTTGTTTTCACAAGTAGGCTTTGATTTATCTGGTTCTCATATCTCCAATGGTCTCTAACTGTTTCATTGTGTTTCATACAGACAAAGCCGCAGTGAACAAAAGGCATCTTTATCGAGAATATGCACAAGCGCCTCGTGGCAAACGTACTGCCCGGGTTGAAAGACCTACTTGGTCTCAGAACTGGTCGGTTTTACCCGCCATCTCTTGAGGAGGCCTGGTGGCCTTGTCAATCCAGCCCGGTGGCTATTCTAGAATTGACTTTGAGGGTTTCTTGGAACAATCTTTAGCAAGTGTCTCATTTAGATCTTGACCCGAGGAATTAGTCACTGATGCTTTGATTGTTTAGTTACCAGTGATGAATCCATGGCCACTAAGGAACAGTGTCCTTGTGATGGATAATGCTCCAATCCATCACGGAGGTAACATTGCTGCCCTATGTGAAGCACGAGGCATCTGCTTACTCTACCTTCCCTCGTATTTGCCGGATTTCAACCCTATTGAATTGGTTTTCTCGCCGCTCAAGTCTTGTTTGAGAAGGAGACAAGCCCTTCACCCTGCGAATAACGTGGCAGGCAAAGAAGCTTCCATATTCATGGCATGTATGGAATTATTTACAGACTCGCTTTGCCTCAAATTATTCCAGAGTTGTTGATATCTCTGAAGTTGTTTTGTTCATTTCTTTTCTGTTTGTCTAATATCTTGAAACAAAGTCAATAACTATACTTATAAAATAATAGTTTATAATGCAAGATTAAACCAATGTTTATAGCTATTGATTTGAATGGTACCAATGTAATGCAATCTAACGCCTGCAAAGGATTGATCAGAACCTTAGAACGTCACCTTTCTAGACCTTGCAGAGCGATGTTAAGTGTTTTGAGACACATCTCACCCATCCGCGCTTAAACCTTTCAAAGCATGATGTGACTTCAAACTGATAATGTCTTCTTCCTCCAGTGATATCAATACCAAGTCATCAGTATCCATAAGATTTACTTGAGTAAGTCACTGTTGTTGAAATCAATCACAAGGTCCGTATGGCAAAAATTTGGCACTTCTGGATTTGTCTGATGTCATATATTTTGATGTCTTTGATTTCACACAAAGGATATGAATGTATTTCTCCTCTCCAAGTTCTTCACACCATAAGAGCGACATTACTAGCTTGTAAAACACTGCAAGAACGCCATTTCAAGAACAAAAAACAATCATCCTGGTCTATCTTGGTTTATCCAAAACACAGTGACCAGCTTGAAAAAAAAGAACGAGATTTATAACCCACAATTTGGGGGAGAACAGGGAAAGCACAAATAACAATAAGGCAATAATTTCAGGATACAATGAATTTTCATACTTTGGTATGATTGCGAGTGGCAGATCAAGAATAGAGCCAACTAAAAAAAAATTGTTTAAGAAATTCGATGATTGACATTGGGAGCCTTGTATCACCAAACCAGTCAATAACATGTGATTGGTGGAACAGATCAATCCTGAGAAACGCAGGCAGGAAACACGGTTAAACTCAATTGACTGATATGAAATGTAAGATAAGAATGATATCTTACATTTCATGTAACAGTCTTGAGCTTTGCTCATCAGGTGGTTGGCAATTTGCCAGTCAATCCCTTTGAAGGTTAAAGTTGATTCAGTGAGTTGTACACTCGGAATCAAGTCCGTCCACGAAACAAAGCCAGCTTCTCTGAGAAGCGTTTGGGTTTTGACATTGTCAAGGGAGATCTTGCAGTTGGCGAGGAAGAGCTCAAATTGGACCGTGTGAGAGGTGGAGGGTCTTTGGACCTCAAACTCAAAACTGCTACTCTCACCTTCAGTGTCCCAGTTGCTTTCATACTCGCTGGATACATAGATAGGTTCATTGATGGAACTTTTGAGATCTGGACCAAGTGCGGAGAAACATGGTCAGCAATCTAGTCATATAGGTATTTGATCAGACTGAGATTACTTTACACAACCTTGATATTCTTCAAGTCCGGTTTGATATCCCCCATGTTGGTTGAGGCCAACCCATTACGTTTATTGCCAATCTTCATGATATCGGGCTTGATATTGGGCATTTGAGCTGGATGCTTCTTCTTCAAACCCAAACCACCGGCCTGAGCGTGTCCAATTGAACGCAAGACATGATTGGCACCATGAGATCTTTGAGAGCTGCCTTTCAATTGAAGTCCAACCCGATCATCCACACCCATGACAGGGTGGATCCGCTGGTTTTTCTTGATTTCATACCAAAACTCCGGAGTATTAGGGGGGATATGCACAGTTGCAATGTTGGCCATCTACGTGAACAGCAGAGAGTAGTCAGTTGTGTTCACGTAGCCTACCGAGTGAGTACCCAAAGGTAAGTGCAAAACATGCACTTACCGCACCTTTAGCCCAAATCCAGGCCGCGGGGTAAGTGAGTCAATATCAAAAGCTGGGATCCCAAGGTGTGGTCAAAACGGTTCCAGGACCTCCAGCGTACGTCCCAATTGCATGTTGGCTAAAAATCTGGTTGGCCAGAGTATTTAACTCTTGCTTGTTCTTGTCATGCTGTGAAGCATTAATAATCAGATCAATGGATTCTGTTATATACGTAAGGAAACCAAAATAGACCTTGGATTCCTGATCCTCAGCCCCATTGCCATTGCCATTAGTCGCAGCAATAAGTTTTTTGGTTGCCGATTCCTGTCAATCTCAACATATTAGACCAGACCATTTGAATGAGAATAGATATACCACTCACCTTGTCGCTTAATTTAACTCTGACTTGCATATTATCGTTTTTGATTGAAACCACACCCATTTTTTTGCTTGATTTTTCGAGGGCTTTGACAAAACTTTTCCATTGAACAGCACCATCAAGAACAACCTTGGAGCGTCCTACGGTGGTCTTCCACTTTAGGTTGGGCGAAAAAACACTGTTGAGAATCAACTTTTTCAAACCTCCCTCATACTCTTTGCAGGCTCCGGCCACCAGGTTCTTGAACTTGTTCAGACTCATTCCGATTGGACAAGTCTTGATCTCTAGAAAGCCGGTGTTGATAGCCTCAGAATCTATAAGATTGAGTCCATCAGCCTTCGCTGGTTTCTTAGTAGCGCCGACTTTAGGGGTGCCCTGAATCGGCGTGTTGATTTCAACTTCCATGTTGGTGTAGATCTTGAATCGCACCTTGATTGCCATCTGATTGTTCTTTTCGAAGGTCTCTCGACCTACTGTTCCGACTCGGCATAAAGGGTTTTGCCTGATAGACGTGGATTGCTGATCGTCTCCCACACCATCATCAGGCACATCAAACACTGAAATTGCAAACAATGAGTGGTAAAACCTTTAAATTAGCGGTGAAAAAAAGGATCTATACTCACAATTGTTCATGTGGCCAGACAAGGGGGTCCCGGGCGGCGGCATTGAAGAGGAGTTGGACACTTGGAAACCGACCAAAAAGGAATATCAACATCAAAGCATTAATGGAAGGATGAAAAGCATCACGAACCCAAATACGAAGACGTCAAATGGAATCTGAGGAATCTTCTTGGGTTAAACACAGGAAAAAATGAGAAAACGGAGGATGAATCGGAAAATGAGCAGATAAATTTATTCAATAATGTGGGAAATGGGACAATAGATTTGCTGGGGTCGGAAGGTGAAGGTTTGAAATGACAAAATAGATAAAATATCATCTTATAAGATGCCATCACGCAATAAGAAGTGGGTCTGCCGGTAATCGATTTGAAAGAAGAGTAGCCGGACAGAGAGATATGGAAAGGGTGAGGAGAGGAAAGGCGAAAGAGTTTGTCCATTCTTAAGAGAAGGACAGTACACTTCACTCTGAAGGTCAAAAAAAAGGGTTTTTGACTTTCAGAGTAAAATCCGGCGACGACACATCTGTTGGAAAAACTACCAATAGAACTTACAACGGCTGTAAATATATTATCTCAATTTTTGAAGAAGCCATTGGAAGTTCATTGGAATTCGGCGCTGCATGTTTTGGGTTATTTGGTTAGAACGAAGGAATTAAAATTAAATTGGGGGGTAGTGTTTTGGATCCTACTGCGTATTCTGATGCAGACTGGGCGCAGGATAGACATGAAAGGAAATCAACGACAGGGTATGTGTTTATGTTAGGAAAAGGACCGGTATTGTGGAGATCTAGAAAACAAAGAGTTGTTTCGTTATCAAGCACCAAATCTGAATATATGGCAATGAGTGATTTGTGTAGGGAGGCTAGATGGTTGGTTTCACTTTTAAATGAATTGGGTATTTCAAAAGCCAAGGTGTTTAAACTGTGTGTGGATAGTGAAGGTGCGGAGGCTTTAGCTCAAAATCCGTCTCACCACTCTTGAACAAAACATATACACACAAGATTTCATTTTATTTGACAGTGTGTTGAGTAGAATGTTGTTAAATTGGTTCATGTTTCTACTTCTAAGATGCTGTGAGCTACTAGCGTCTTTCAGGCTAGTAAGTCACTAAAGAAAAGGGTGAGAATAATAAACTGAGTTTACTATGAGCATGGGAAACTTATTTAAAGTTTTAAATAAGGTTATAAGAGAAGCAGTGGGATCAAATCCGCACTGACTTCAGTTAGATGACCTCTTAACAGAGGGTTTGGATACAAATCCGGGAATTAATGCAAGACAAGAAGTCTTCTAGCAGGATGTAAAGTAGAAACTACAGTCTAGTTTTGTGCCCAAGCTAACAACACTTTACTCTAGAGTTTGTTAATCAAGGGAAATATCACCTAGTGATATTTGAAGTTCTTTAAACTCTGAACACAGAGGAACTCCCGTGACTTTAGAGTTTCTCAAGTTATTGAATTCCCTTAATAACTTGAGCAATACTACAAGGATCACCTCCTGAAGGAAGTCTTCAACAGAACTTCAACAAACTACAATGGTAATAATCAATAAGAGAAATATATAATGTCTAACAAATGAGGACAAGCACCTGTGTCACCTGTATCAATTGACATACCAGCCAGTAGTAAATGACACATTCCCATCAACGTATAAGCTGATTCCTTGCAGCAGAGCACTTCAGGTGACCTGGAGCACAACTTTTAGTCCCTCCAAGGTCAGGTCTTCCAATCATCTTCTCACACCAAACCTTTCAGAGAGCCTTAAAACAGCTCTGTGCAAAGTTTCCACTCAAAAAAATTACTTTGAGGTAGCAAACTTGACCATCAACATGACCAGGTCAAAAATCTGTTCTGTCAGGTCATAAATCTGCTCTGTCAGGCCACAAATGTGACCTGGAACCTCTCAGAGCGCTCTGGAAGATCCTGAGATCACATTTTTGACCTGACAGAGCACTCACTTTTGATCTGACTTTGGATCATGATACGTACAAGGGTTTTTCATCTTCTCACCATCCCACACTGCGAGCACGATTCACCCAACCGACCTTTGCCATGCTCAATTTTCATCAAAGAACTCACATTGACTCAGATTTCGACTTTAATCACTTGAACAACTCATCATTCATCATTAGATGTGAAAATCAATCACGAGTACAAAGAAAAAACAACTCAGACTAGCACTTTCAGCCAAACAAGGCATTTCAAATAAACAAAAACGTTCACTATATACACTTGTCAATTGTCAAACCCTTCATCTCCAGGCATCTCTTCACTTTCTTCTTCACCACCAACACCTACTTCATCCGCCAATCCTCCCACCTCATCTTCATCAACAATAGCCTCAAACTCCATCAAACGCTGCTCAGTCTCCTCCCCTTTGTCAAGTGGAGCCGCATCAAGGATTTCACCCCGTGAGCTCGCCTTCCAGGCTATCTTGCTTCTGGAAACTAACGCTGACCACTGTGTTAATATTGATGCTTCCTCAATCTCCTCCAAGCTACTGTAGGCTAGCGTTCGATTGATAAGTCCATGCATCCCTCCACCCCAAAAAATCCACAAGCGTGTATACATTCTACTAAGCCGTGAATACAGAGCCTGTAAAACTAATTTACTTTCGGACAACCTATCTTTCGCTGTTGGTTTTGTAGACTGGACGACTCCGACCATCCATTCGTTGGGCAGCAGAGCAGGATTATTGTCTGCCAACATTCACACCATTTAGTTTTAACCTCATTCATCATACCGATTTGGTAAGCTTACCCACCTTGTAGATTAAGGGCAGTGTTGAGAACTGAAAGCTTGTTTTCCATTTCCACCGCCCACTTTATCGATTGCCGACACTCGCGTGCCAGTCGACGCAGCTCATCACTTGCATGGCATTTATCACGATACGCTTTGATACCAAGCTGGGTATTTGGATCAACTACCCACGCTTTGTCGGGATGGGTCAGTTGACCAATATCCCAGAACGGATCAACTAGTGCAAGGCGTCGGATGTCTTCAAGAGAGGGGCAGGAAATCGGGTCCGGTGCAGGATAATCCTCATTGAACTGTTCAGCATTTTGTTTGTAAGTTTCGTATTTCCGTTTTAGAAGCGCTTGCTTGTCTCTCAGGGTTTTGTTTGATTTTTGTTGTGCACGGGTTCCTAACAGTGATGTAACATACAATCATTTCAATCAGCATGAAAGTAATTAAGACTACTCTGTTATTCATATTGAGCCTCACCAGCTCGTTCATTGCTTTTCTTCTGCGACTTGAATACAACCACCTTAGCCCCGTACAGTTTAGCCTTAGCAACTCGCACCCTGATCAGATTTTGTCCTTTAGGGGCTGCATGGACCTCAAATCAGCCACCCAGTTTGTATGAAGTCCTTATGTAAAAAAATTCTTACTAGAAGATCCTGGCATATCACGATAGTGATCTCCCCCCAATTCACCTGCTAGTTCATCAATGTCTGTTTGTAGCATTTCTTTTGTTTGAGTTAAGTGAGTTAGTTTCAGTTTCTCAGCCACTGTCATATCTCTCCTACGCTTGCGGCGCAGAGCCACCAGTTTGTCACTGAAGGCAAAGGACCAGGTAAACAACATCATCTCAATTTTCAATTACTGCCAACTCAACTTGGCTTCCTGAGAGTTCTCTTTCACCAGTACCTGGAGCTGGCATTCTCGCTGCCGGTTCCACTGGTGAGTCAGATATTCATCGGTATACATAGGATCTTTTTTCAATTCATTCAAAACTTGACAGCTCTTAGTGTAGAGACTGTGGCTGGTTGACAAGCGCTGAAGTAGCCACCGCACTAATCATTCAGAAGTGAATTTGATCAATTAAATGTCCCACATCCTTATTGAATACACATACATACCAGTGACCTTGCGACCGGACTCATTAATATGACGTGTTCTTAGCTCCAAAGCGCAAAGTCAATGGAACGCTGTAGAGTATCTCAAAGCGCCCACCAAAGGAGACAGTTTGGACCAAATGTTGTTCTAAACCCTCCCCATCCGAAAGACCCCAATCCTCGTTGAGTCGAGGATTATACTGAAGCTGGCACGACCATTGATGTACATATGAAGGGAACACGCTGGTTCCGAATTTCAGCTGACTGTTCTCTCGAGCCCTTGAGAAAAAGTTTCTCCACAAAATATCAACCTCTGAAATAGCGCAAGTATAGACTATAAAACTGAAATGAGCCACCTTTATGATGCTTTTTTCGAGGTTGCATCCAATATCATATAATATGCCCACCTTGAGTTTTTCAATACCGGCTTGGTCTTGACCGGTCTCCTTTAGTATCCAATCAATCATGGTCAAAGGATAATAACCTCTAAATAAACCAACAGGTGAGCAAATTAATCAATCTCTCCAACCACTGAAGAGCTTGTTCGTACCTCTCGCCAGTCTGGATAATGTTAATGAACTTGATGAGGTGGTCATGTCGGCATGCCATCCCCATCAAGCCAGTTTCATAAAAACCTCGCCAAGTATGACGACCACGAATGTCGTTTGCGGCTGTGTGCTGGTTGCTACAAGGGTCCTACATATGTATGGTTGATGATTAGTCAATACCATGACATTGAAAAAGTTCAATCTCACCCACAATGACTTCTGCGGCTTTGTCAGGTACACCAGATTGTCGTGGTAGTGGTTCCATTTTTGTTTTCCACATATCTACTAGAGCAGGTGAGATAAAAAGGGAAGGGACTACCCCACTTTCACCTCGCCATTTAGCACTCGCTGCTTCATGGCGCCGATGCTGAAAATTACCATCAATGCATACCACAAAATCCGGCTCATTGGCACGTTTTCCAAGTACCTTTGGCCCAAAACATGGCGGACAGTTGATAGCAAGCTTGTCTGTTGGTGACAAACGGAGAGCTTTTGACGCAGTCTCATCTTCAAGGCAAAGCATTTCACGGTACACATCAACTGCCGCCAAAAACCTAATACGGCAGTCACGACTCTGGGGCAAAGATGATTATGAATCATGAGCAGGTGATTGTGAGTACATAAATCTAAATAATACTATGACATACTTGTTTGGTGCCAGGAACCAAAAAGATGGTGTTACCAGCATCTAAAAATTCGTCCATGGCCTCTACAAAAGGTGCCAATCGAACAGCACAGTATTTCCAAACGGTATGATGAAAAGCAAGAAGGCGTATTGAAAAAGCTATTCGAGGGCGTATCGGAGACCCTCCGATATAACCCTTCCGGACTAGTCGAATCACATCACTAACACATCCACAGGTTTCTAGGTCAATCTTCTTCCGGCCTGTGTGTAGTGTTGATACAAACGTCATGACACTGCTTGATGAGTAGATCGAATCCAAGCAATGCTTTGAACTTCACTCACTAGTAATGTCCACTGAATCAATCTGTACAACACCTTTCTTCCAAGCTGGACATTTACACTCAAGGTTAAGATCTTCATTCCAAGTCGCTTCGTTACTCCATTGTCCGGTCTTGAGGGAACAAATCATGAAACACTTGAAGATCTCGGGTATGATGGTCTTCCAGTGAGCCTCCTCAGTCAAAGTCCGCTCTCGATAGGTGGGGCTTTTCAAGTATGCAGATCTGAGTCCCGGAGGATGAATGATTGTGCCATCATTGATTGGTTGTACTTTGTCCCAATCGGCAGTCATCTGAAGGTGATCATAGATTTCAATCGGATTGTCGTCATCACCGCTGTTGAATCCTTTGTAGGTTTGGGGATTTGCCGGCGTGATTTCGACAGTTCGATTGTTTAGGACAGCATCTCTAGATTTGGAGTCTGCTTCTTCAAGTGCTCAGAGGTTTGCTAACCTTTGACTGGCACTTCGAGGGGCCGGCCTTGCTGGCGCTGTGCGTGATCGACTTCGTTTGTTGGAATCTGGGACGACAGAACCAGGCAACACCATTTGAAAGTGCGAAAAGATGAAGATGGAGTTGGTGGTGATTTCTCCGACTCCCCTTGGAAAGTTGGGATATGAACAAACTGATGTAAGGGAGTGCTAATGCTAATGTGCATATAATTTCTACTTTAGGACCTTTTCAACAAATCTAAACGGTCATCATGCCAAGCTAGCTAGGCCTTGATTTGAAATCTCCTGAAGTTCCCAGGAACATCCAAGATCCTTGTTAGGGATAGTTTTGGCGTCATGCCAGGAGCACGGCATTAACAACAAGAGAGAACCTGTTGAACTCGGTTGGTCACCACACTCAACCCCCAATGTGCCATTGCCTTATCAGTATCTCAGAGTTGAGCAACTGATAAGGTGCAACATCCTTTTACTATTTTGGGGTGATTTGAGGGTGACAGTGCTGGAGAAGAATACCTGATTTTTGAGATTGAATGGATGATTCCAGGATGAAGATGGTGAGTTATGAAAAAAAGTCAATAATGAAAGATGTTGGGCATGCAGAGAAGCACATAAACACAGGGGGACACATGAAATTGGGCACATGTTCAGACACTTAGGGGGAATTTTGTTGTTGAGCGGGAGAAGAATAGCTGATTTTTGAGATTGAATGGCTGATTCCAGGATGAAGATGGTGCTTTATGAAAAAAAGTCATTAATGAAAAATGTTGGGCGTGCTGGGAAGAACATAAACTCAGGAGGAAACATGAAATTGAGCACATGTTCAGACACTTAGGGGGAATTTTGTTGTTGAGCGGGAGAAGCATTCCTGATTTTTGAGATTGAATGGCTGATTCCAGGATGTAGATGGTGAGTTATGAAAAAAAGTCAGTGGGGGAGGGGATGTTGGGCATGCAGAGAAGCACATAAACACAGGGGGACACATGAAATTGGGCACATGTTCAGACACTTAGGGGGAATTTTGTTGTTGAGCGGGAGAAGAATAGCTGATTTTTGAGATTGAATGGCTGATTCCAGGATGAAGATGGTGCTTTATGAAAAAAAGTCATTAATGAAAAATGCTGGGCGTGCTGGGAAGCACATAAACTCAGGGGGAAACATGAAATTGGGCTCATCTTGTATGGGTTGAGGTTGAATTTGTGCTCAGTTTGGTGTCCAAAAACATGTTGAGTGTATTGTGGGAAATGTAGCACAACCTTGATTTCTATGATTTGATAGACATTTGAAGCACAAATGCACCTCCAGTGTTTGAAGATCAGCCAAATTTCACCTTTCCTCCTGAGTTCATGTGCTTCCCAGCACGTCCAACATTTTTCATTAATGACTTTTTTTCATAAAGCACCATCTTCATCCTGGAATCAGCCATTCAATCTCAAAAATCAGCTATTCTTCTCCCGCTCAACAACAAAATTCCCCCTAAGTGTCTGAACATGTGCCCAATTTCATGTGTCCCCCTGTGTTTATGTGCTTCTCTGCATGCCCAACATCTTTCATTATTGACTTTTTTTCATAACTCACCATCTTCATCCTGGAATCAGCCATTCAATCTCAAAAATCAGGAATGCTTCTCCCGCTCAACAACAAAATCCCCCTAAGTATCTGAACAAAAAACTTTAACATTTGGTAATTTGTGCCATGTATTGGCACATAGGGGTGATTCAATCACCCCTTGTGGAAAGGTTTATTGGAACTCCATCAAACACATGTAACCCCAACACAAAATAGCTTCAATCTCTCTTGACCACACAGTATTCCATTTCAGAGCCAGTCTCTCTAATCAAACAGGTCAAAATACTACATCTAGCACCAGCTTATAGCTTATAGCTTATAGCTATAAGCTATACTTTAACATCCTCTTGGTTGTTTTTCTTAGAAACAACTTCAGCGACCAAAAGCCCTAAAAGATTGCAAATCGGTGATTTGCTTTGATAGGTGGTGTGATATTTAATATCATTATGAATGATTTAGTTCAATTTGTATAGTGTCTTACTTCCCATAAACACTCATATAATGGTTGGTAGATGTGAGTGAGCAAATATTGCAATCACAATTGAAGGAACTCACCTCTCATCAACCATCATTGATCCAACTGTCGGGCGAACAAGGATGGAAGAATATGATCAAGGACAATACTTGCTTGCGTTTGAGACTCTCTCATGTCCATTGAGACAGCTGGCCTTCTTTGAAGAACTCGTGTCCTGTAGACATGAAGTTTTGTACTACTGGGAGAGCTGGGATAGGATCAGGTGTTGTACATCAAAAGTTCACCTGTCTTGATTTCACACGGATCCTGTCTTGATTTCACACGGATATTGAAACTTGTATGTGCCTTGATTTCACTTATCAAGACTTCAAAGATCTTTTTGCCAACCATTCACTTACCAACCATTCACTGCACCAATTTCCAATCCAACCCACTCACAACTTTAACCGCTTTTTGATACTATAATGCCTTCCACTCGCTCAAAAGGAAAAAAATCTAAGACTTCGAAAACCAAACCTTCATCCGTCGCACCCAAGAATAAGACTTCTCAGGTTACCTCTTGTAAACGCAAAAGAACGGCCACTTCGAGCCGGAAATCCGGCACCGGAGATTCACATGACAAGGAAGATTCACAGGCAGATGAAGATCAACCTATTGATAAAAACACTACTGAGACTGAGGACCCATCCCCCACCCAAACTAACGCTAAAAAATCGAATCGTGTCTTTCAATCACAATTCCCCGGTTTAGAATTTGATACATTCGAACAAGAACTTGACAATTGGTCACTTGTCAAGCTTCAGGAAGCATTACAGAAACAAGAGTCTCGACGTACTAAAGTACACAAGGAGGTTCGGGATCTTGTGGAAATCATGCGAATGGAATTTGAAAAACGTATGCTCATGATTGCTCTGATGGCCGGAGTACCGGAAGTTGTCATATGGAAATTAGTGTAATTCATTTTGTTTATTTCGTTTATTTTGTTCATGTCGTTTTTAATTTTTTACTTGTCTCAATTTTTCATCGAACTGATTCTAAACATTCCAATACCTTCTTTCCAACTAATTACAGAGGGTTAGGGTCGAAAACCGTGAAGGCAAACCCCTGGATACGTTTCTTGAGTTTTTGTTTGAAATGCTTGGGTACTAAAAGTATGAATTTCCCATTTATGACTGCACTATCATTGGTTTTCTCAAACTTCACTTACTCATCGTTTGTTATCAAATACCCACTTGTGAAAATGTTTGACAGTGCCCGAACGCAATGATAAAGACGCCTGGGTAGCTCGAAATCAGGAGATGGCTGAGAAATGGCATGATCTAAGCCAGGATGAGCAGGACGTTTTCAAAGATCCATACTTCTTTGCTCTACCTAATCTTCCAGACTATTCAACTGCTGTAGTTGGCGATGATCAAGGGGGCGAGGGCGACGATGACGAGAATGGAATCAATACAAACCAGTTCGACGGTACTACTCCTGCTCCGAAAGTCCATCAGCTCTCAGAGGAAGAAAAAGCCAAATATCAGCCCCTCTTTGAAAAGCTGGTCAATGTGGAAAAGTTGCACCTCTCCCACGGCAAGCCAGAAAAATCGACTTTGGTTGCGACTTTACAAAAGCGGTCTTTAGTTGCTGTACGTAAAGCACATCATGACGTAAGTTTAATCTGACTTTTGTCACTCCACATGATTCATACTGACTTGCCTTGTTTGATTGTTGTCAGTTCTCAGTCATCTGTCAACAGCACCATATCTCGTATTACTTGACTTCCGCAAGCTGCGGTGGAGTTGATGGATGGTCTCAAACCTTTTCCAACAACATCAAGTTCGCTGACTGGGCACTGAAGACTCCGAAAATACCTTCCAAGTTTACGACCTATATCCACAGACAAGAAGTGGCTAAAGAGATTGAAGCCATAGTGCCGCAAGCAAGTGACGAGCAAAAAAGCCGACTAACTCACCAACTCAATGAGATGTTTGGTATGTAGTGATTGATGCTCTTTTCATGGGTTTGGAAGTGTTGTTGCTCATGTGGTATTTGTCATCCAGGAGCTCACATCAATAAAACTTCGTTTCCAAAGATGCCTGACCCTATTGCGCACATCAAGAAGAGGGGATGGCCGATCGAAGTAATCCAGAAGCCAGGTAGCAAACTTAGTCCGACCGACCTATTGAAAGGCCATCGAAAAGCAACCAATGCAGTCATTCAAGTTTGGTTAAAAGACATCGAAGACGGTCTATTTGTAATTGAACCTAAACTTATCAATGATGGTGAGGAAGTGATTGATAACACTCAATCAAATAGAATAGAATCTACACAGTCCGAATCGAATCATGTTCAGCAAGGGAGTTCCAAAACAAAAAAGAAACAAAAGTCTTCAGAAAGTCAAGAGACTGCTCGCAAGCAAAACAATGTAAGTCTTTTGAATCCACTTAATCGAACTCATATTGTAGAGTTCTAATCAGACCTTATGATCGATTCTTGCTTGCATAACTAGGGGGCAAGTAAATCTCGTTTGTACCTCAAGAGCTTAGCCGCGGGGAAGAACAAGGGGCCAAATGAAGACTCGGGTGACTCCAGCACGTTAGAAGATGAATCAGGCTCTGAAAGTGAGGAAGAAAGTGACAATCAGCCTGATGATGATTAGATGGATGAGTGATGAGCGAGAGAAAAAAAGGCAGTGTAAGATAATTTGCCACTCTTCTTGCAACTGTTACTGTTGCATTGAAAGGAGCTGACTGGTCCCCTAAAATCTCGCTCATAGCTTTCTATTTACAGTAGACTATTAGAATTGGTTCATTACAGATCCAAATCGATCAGTCTCACAGACCGTGCCACGCTTTGGTTTTGTTTCATTTGGAATACTCAATAACTACGGAATGCGAGGTGTGTCAAAGTGACAATTCAATTTTCAAAAATTGAAATTTCAGACCCCCGGGTCAGAAATTGATAAAACTGGAAGAACCATCAGATTTAACCCCAATACTGGTCTGAAACCGCCTGTATTGGGGATAAAACCTATCTTTCTGCCAGTTTTCACAATTTCCAGACCACAACTCAAATATCGACCACTGACTTGGCACTTTGGCACAAATATTACATGAAAATTTCAAGAAATCGATTTTCATCATGTCAAACTTCACATATGTATAAAACAACAAAACCCAATACCTAACCGTACCACAGGACAACCTCAGCAGCCAAAACCTACAGATCGCACAATCATTACTCGGGACGACACAAAACCTAATCACAATTTGCAGAAATAATCACTCTTAACCTACCTCTCCCTCCCCAATTCGATCCTCACCCAGCAACGTCCTCATACCATCCAAAAACCACATTCACTTGTCACTTTGACACATATTATCCAATCCATTCTATCAATCATCAATCTCTCCATTTCATCATATAACTACTGTTATCATGCCTGGACGAATTGAAATCTCAGATGATATCTTACACCCTATCCTAGAACAAGCTCATAACAACAAGTGGACAGCACAATCGGTATCCGACAACATCTGGAGAAGTCATCAAATCAAGATCAGTGTTCGTACCATCCGTCGACGTATTGAGGCATGGGGTTTGAAACACCGAGTGGAGTATGATGAAGAGACTGTCACGAAGGCTGTGTTAGACAAGCACGGTAAAAGTTACAATCAAAAAAGAACCCTCATCTCAATCAGCTTGTATTGCTCTGTAGG